GTGAATTACTTCAATAGTCATTACATAGAGTAATGGGGGAAGCACCTGGACCATCTTGGCACTGGTGACGGAGAATGTGGCGGGAAGAATGCCATTGCTGTGTGGTCCTGCTCTCTCTGTCTCTGTTTCTCTCTCTGTCGTTTGTCTGTCTCTCTCTCTCTCTCGCTCTGTCTCTCTCTTTCTCTCTCTTTGTCTCTCTGTCTCTCTTTCTCTGTCTCTGTCTGTCTGTCTGTCTGTCTCTCTCTCACTCTTTCTTTTTTAAAACTAAGACCAGGGTTCATAAGGGCTGCCAAATAAGGTGCCTAGTGAAACTGCAAGCAAGAGCTGCTGTCCTTCCTCAGCTCATCTGAAGGCTGCTCCTAGAAACTCATTTATTTCACGAGGATGTCCTTTGAAACTATCACATAGGGAATTATCATATAAGGAACCTGGTGAAACTTCAAGCAAAAGCTGCAATCTTTCCTCAGCTAACCTACTCCTAGAGACCCATTTATTTCATGAGCCTATAATATGCATAAATAGGAATCAATTTTGTTCATTAACAACATTAGGTAACAATCATATAAGGAAGAGGATGAGCCTGTAGCCAACTGTGTGCCAGAGCCTTCATGTGACCAGTTGACCTGATCTCCCGTGTATCAACCTGTAGAGTGGACAAGTTCCAGATATCAGTCAGCTTAGGAATGAATGATCGTTGATGGAGTGATGTTCTTGAGAACGACACTTCCAGCATGAGACTGTTGAAGGTTGAGAGCCTAGTGTTTCGGGTGGCAACTACTGGCTGTCCACTGATCTGTGCCTTTGGTTGCTCTCTTGTTCTGTAAAATGGCAACATGCAATGCTTCCGTTATCCGTCACTTATTGCCATGGTTTGTTTCTCATTGTCAAGGTTTCCCATTGGATCATCAAGGTTTACCCTACGCCTAAGGGAAACCTATTCCTAGGGTGCAACCCATAACAGTTGCCTAAATCCCAGCTACCTGTTAACTAAGGCACTACGGGCTCACCATAGCCCGTGTTACTTGGAACTTTTTGTTCCAGGTAGCGAATCTTTAACAACAACAACAACCTGTTAACTGCAAGATGAACAAAGGCATCAGTGAAAGGAAATTTGCACAAACGGCTCCGTCCTAGAGTATAATCGTCTGTGAGTCAAGTGGCTAGCAGTGCGTCCTATTGGTTACACTGCCCGATCACCACGTTCTCTTCACTTGTCACAACGTCACAAAAATGATGTACTAAATTACCTGAGCCTAACCTAACCGAGGGTCCAGGAAAGGAAAACGAGACACCCGTTAATTTTGCGAGCCGCTGTGATTTATAGTACATCATATTTTGACGTTGGGGATTGATACGTCAAAATGCGATGTACTGTTCAAGAGGACAGATTGTACATAACAAAAGGAGCCTTAGTTTGATAATTATCGAACGTAAGAATTATGGTTTCAAGGGCCAGACTCAAGAAGCTGTTACGCAAGTACTTACGAACGGGCACATCTTTCCTCAATTTTTGATTAAAAATTGAGGAAAGAAAAATAATTAAATGCTTTGGTTACATTTATTAAACAGTTTACAAGCATGAAAACTTGTCCTGGTGCTTCGGAGCTCATTAACTGTTTAATAATTGTAAACAAAGCCGCCAAAAATTGAGAAAAGATGTACAGGTCTGTAAGTGCTTGCGTAACTTCTTCGTGAATCTGGCAGGCCTCTAGCAGACTCGAACCGTTGACCCCACGTGTGTGAGGTCGAAGCCCTATCGACCTCTATCGACATTAGGTGAATGGAATGTTTAGCTCCACGGAAGTGTAGGAGACAATGTATTATGACTCCCAGTAAATGTGACGACGAGGCTGTCACAAAATATCACACCAACTGGTACAAAAAGTGGTGCTTGAGACTAGATTGTTCAGTATTATTTCCAATCTCACATTTTGGGTTTGAACTAAAGTACTTAAAGATTAAAGTCAATATAGTTATGTTTTTGAAGGGTGTAGTCTTTATGAAAGACACGCGACTATAACTAAACCATAAGGTCTCCCCAGACAGGATACATAATAATAATAATAATAATAATAATAATAATAATAATAATAATAATAATAATATTAATAATAATATAAATAATCATAATAATAACTTAGCCAGGGTTCGTATCCTGGTCGGGGAGGATTTACTGGGCGCAATTCCTTAACTGTAGCCTCTGTTTAACGCAACAGTAAAATGTGTACTTGGATGAAAAAACGATTCTTCGCGGCAGGGGATCGTATTCCAGGGACCGTAGGATTAAGGACTTGCCCGAAACGCTACGCGTACTAGTGGCTGTACAAGAATGTAACAACTCTTGTATATATCTCAAAAAAAAAAAAAAAATGTTACGGATCTTTATATATATATATATATATATATATATATATATATATATATATATATATATATATATATATATATATATATATATATATATATATATATATATATACTGTATTACAAGAGGCGATGATAGGCTTTAAGAGCAGACTGCGTCAGGTGTAGCACTCTCTGCCCCCTGACCCTCGGTGCACCAGTACCCAAGGTCGGCTCAACCCTTAAATATTCATTATAATTTTGCCCCTAAGGGACAAGCGGGTTGCCTACCAAAACAAGGGTAAGCATCTACTTTGTATTCTTCCCATGTTGATGTAAAGTGTTAATCATACTATGTAACATTAGAACATAAGGATCTTATTATGCTTTCACATGCACTATACATTGATACCGGTAATGGCTGAAAAGGGCCACCACTTACGGGCTATTCATGCCCGTGCCACCTTTTGGGTGGCTTAATCTTCATCAATCAATCTTATGTGAACAGGAATCCCGCCGGGCCCGTCTTCCGGCCCGTGTGTCATCCGCCCTGGCGACCGGCGCCAGTCCCCGGGCCCACACACACCCGAGAGTGTGAATAATTTACTGTTAGTCTGGGCCAAATATGAGGAAGAAAGGCGAGAGAGAACTACGCACTTCGAGCCCCACACGAGCGGCATATTGATCTGTGGGGGTCCGGGTCCTTTGCCGGTGGCCGCCCAATGAACGCCCGCCACGTCACCAGCAGACACGCGCCCTCACACACACACACACACACACACACACACACACACACACACACACACACACACACACACACACACACACACACACACACACACACACACACACACACACACACACACACACACACACACACACACACACACACACACACACACACACACACACACACACACACACACACACACACACACACACACACACACACACACACACACACACACACACACACACACAAAATACAAAATACACTATTTACAAATTTCTCAGAGGAATTGACAGGGTAGATAAAGATAAACTGTTTAACACTGGTGGAACACGAACAAGGGGACACGGTGGAAACTGAGTACCCACATGAGCCACAGGGACGTTAGAAAAACTTTTATCAGTGTCAGAGTAGCTAAATTAACAGGTGGAATGCATTAGGCAGTGATGTGGTGGAGGCTGACTCCATACACAGTTTACAATGTAGATATGATAGAGCCTAGTAAGCTCAGGAACCAGTTGATTGACAGTTGAGGCAGGACCAAAGAGCCAAAGCTCAACCTCCCGTAAGCATAACTAGGTGAATTCTCACACGCACTTCTGTATCTTCTAAATTGCTAAATGTATCTTTAGAAGATACAATTAACAATTTACTACAAAAACAAGAAGGCGGCCAACTTACACATGAAGAACACTCCAGACACCAAACAGAACGCCTTGAAAGAAACCAACGTCGTCTATGCCTTCACATGCCCACTTGGGGACTGTCAGCCCCAAAGATCTCAGTACATAGGCAAGACAACAACGTCTCTCTCTCTAGGTGATTAACAATGCACAAGCAACAGGGCTCCATCAAGGAGCATATAAACTCACACAACCAGACCATCACCAGAGAAATCTTAACAAGCAACACAGAAATTATCGACAGATACACTGACAATTGGAGACTCCACATCAGCGAGGCCCTACACATCAAAATGCCAACACCAGCTATCAACTGCCAATTAACACACAATTACATTCTACCCACTTCAAGACCCCGAACCAACACAGAGGCAACAGGATAAAATACGCAATGGTTTATCCATTGATTCACTTATTCATCTCAATCATGTCCTGTATCACTTCACCCCAAGCGAATATAAGCATTGGCAGAGTATGTAAAATTGCCTTTGAAAATGCAAGATCATAAATAAAGTGTGAAAATGAACTTTGGAGAGTTAATTTTTCAACTACCCTCGAAAGTGAAGAAAAATATAAGAAATATTGAGAAGAGTCATGTTAGAATGATTAATCTTACCCTTTCGGTCATATTCAACATATGTTAACAAGAAAGACTACTACCAATATATATATATATATATATATATATATATATATATATATATATATATATATATATATATATATATATATATATACATATATATATATAACTGAAAACTCACACCTCAGTTGTATATAGTCCTGGGGACCATATGGTCCCCAGGACTATATACAACTGAGGTGTGAGTCTGGGGTGTGAGTTTTCAGTTATATATATATATATATATATATATATATATATATATATATATATATATATATATATATATATATATATATATATATATATATATATATATATACATATATGACTGAAAACTCACACCCCATAAGTGACTCGAACCCATACTGCCAGGAGCAACACAACTGGTATCTATCGGCTATCACTTCCTTTTGTCCAGTCGTGATGGTGAAGCGATGGTATATATATATATATATATATATATATATATATATATATATATATATATATATATATATATATATATATATATATATATATATATATATATATATATATATATATATAAAGCCATACACCACACACCTGACCCTCGGCGCCAAGTCATACACCACACACCTGACCCTCGGCGCCAAGCCATACACCACACACCTGACCCTCGGCGCCAAGCCATACACCACACACCTGACCCTTGGCGCCAAGCCACACACCTAACCCTTGGCGCCAAGCCATACACCACACACCTGACCCTCGTCGCCAAGCCACACACCTAACCCTTGGCGCCAAGCCATACACCACACACCTGACCCTCGTCGCCAAGCCACACACCTAACCCTTGGCGCCAAGCCATACACCACACATCTGACCCTCGGCGCCAAGCCACACACCTAACCCTTGGCGCCAAGCCATACACCACACATCTGACCCTCGGCGCCAAGCCTCACACCTGACCCTTGGCGCCAAGCCATACACCACACACCTGACCCTCGGCGCCAAGCCACACACCTGACCCATGGCGCCAAACCACACACCTGACCCATGGCGCCAAGCCACACACCTGACCCTTGGCGCCAAGCACACCAAGAACTAAATGAAGTACTGTTGGCGTCGTGATATAATTTTACAGGTTATATAAAAGTTTTCAAGATATGGAAGATGCAAGATATAAGGTATACAAATAGTGTGTGTATACCTCTACCACTTGTCACTAAGCATACCGCCACAACATGTCATGTGTATGATGAATGTATAGTGACTTGTGGTGTATTATGAAGACTAAGATCTCCATCACAACCCGGAAAATGAGGCTTTAAACTCATGTTTTTCTATGTATGTTTATAAATAAATACAATCACTTTATAATAACTATATAAATTAATAACAGCAATCAGACAATTTTAGAGGCATTAATTGAGGCAGTATACAGTTTAGTTGTGGTAGTTAGAGGGAGTTAATAGAGTAATTAAGGGGGAATGAGACGGGTCGGCGGCGGCCACGTGAACAGATCTGTCTCCTGCTGCTGCTTCTGCTGCTGCTTCTTCTGCTGCTCCTGCTGCGTCTGCTGCTCTCACTGGCGGGACGATGGGCAGGCCCAAGGACAGGAAGGTGGAGGAGCAGCGGAGGGCGAGGCTGAGGAAGCCGCTGCAGGAGTCCATGAAGGAGCTGGAGAGGAAATACGAGCTGGCGCTGGGCCAATGGCGGAGCCTGGCGGTCAGTGTTAATTATTATTATTATTATTATTTATTATTATTATTATTATTATTATTATTATTATTATTATTATTATTATTATTATTATTATTATTATTATGGTTCGTCATAGAGAGGCATGTGATCAGTCGTCATCAACACGAGAGGTAATAAAGTCATTGTAAAGTTCTTAAGGTACCTCATGCCAACGGGTCTAGTGGTGGGAGACCCGTCACCTGTAGCCACCTGTCACGGGTAATGGTAGCCACCTGTCACGGGTAATGGTAGCCATCTGTCACGGGTAATGGTAGCCATCTGTCACGGGTAATGGTAGCCATCTATCACGGGTAATGGTAGCCACCTGTCACGGGTAATGGTAGCCACCTGTCACGGGTAATGGTAGCTACCTGTCACGGGTAATGGTAGCCATCTGTCACGGGTAATGGTAGCCATCTGTCACAGGTAACGGTAGCCACCTGTCACGGGTAATGGTAGCCACCTGTCACGGGTAATGGTAGCCACCTGTCACGGGTAATGCTAGCCACCTGCCACAGCTAACGCTAGCCACCTGCCACAGGTAACGGTAGCCACCTGCCACAGCTAACGCTAGCCATCTACCACAGGTAACGCTAGCCACCTGCCACAGGTAACGCTAGCCACCTGCCACAGGTAACGCTAGCCACCTGCCACAGGTAACGCTAGCCACCTGCCACAGGTAACGCTAGCCACCTGCCACAGGTAACGCTAGCCACCTGCCACAGGTAACGCTAGCCACCTGCCACAGGTAACGCTAGCCACCTGCCACAGGTAACGCTAGCCACCTGCCACAGGTAACGCTAGCCACCTGCCACAGGTAACGCTAGCCACCTGCCACAGGTAACGCTAGCCACCTGCCACAGGTAACGCTAGCCACCTGCCACAGGTAACGCTAGCCACCTGCCACAGGTAACGCTAGCCACCTGCCACAGGTAACGCTAGCCACCTGCCACAGGTAACGCTAGCCACCTGCCACAGGTAACGCTAGCCACCTGCCACAGGTAACGCTAGCCACCTGCCACAGGTAACGCTAGCCACCTGCCACAGGTAACGCTAGCCACCTGCCACAGGTAACGCTAGCCACCTGCCACAGGTAACGCTAGCCACCTGCCACAGGTAACGCTAGCCACCTGCCACAGGTAACGCTAGCCACCTGCCACAGGTAACGCTAGCCACCTGCCACAGGTAACGCTAGCCACCTGCCACAGGTAACGCTAGCCACCTGCCACAGGTAACGCTAGCCACCTGCCACAGGTAACGCTAGCCACCTGCCACAGGTAACGCTAGCCACCTGCCACAGGTAACGCTAGCCAAACCTGGTAACCACTGCTGGTGTTTTCAGGTTGTTGGGAGTCAGTAATTTATCTCCTATATTATAAGTCTTATTCTATTGTCACCATTCTTGTATTATCAGCGTACTGTAGTTGTATCATGAGTTGTTCTATTGCCATCCTTGTATTATCAGCGTAGTTGTATTATTAGTCTTGTTCCATTGTCATTCTTTGTGTATTATCAGCCTTCATGTATTATCAGTATAGTTGTATTATTAGTCTTGTTCTATTGTCCTCCTTGTATTATCAGTGTATTATCAGCCTTCCTGAGGGTGTATTATTGGTGTTGTATTATGAGCGTAATTGTACTATTGGCCTTGTATAACGAGGGTTGTATTATTGGCCATGTATTACGAGGGTTGTATTATTGGCCTTGTATTACGAAGGTTGTATTATTGGCCTTGTATTACGAGGGTTGTATTATTGGCCTTGTATTACGAGGGTTGTATTATTGGCCATGTATTACGAGGGTTGTATTATTGGCCTTGTATTACGAGGGTTGTATTATTGGCCTTGTATTACGAAGGTTGAGATATGGGCGTTGTTGTATTATTGGTCTTGTATTATGAACTTTGCATTATGAGCGTAGTTGTATTCCGAGCCTGGTATTATGAGCGCAGTTGTATTATGGGCGTTGTTGTTGTATTGTGAACACTGTCGTATTTTGACCGTTTTTGTCGTGTAATGAATATTTGTACGTTTTTTGGTCATATTATGGATATTGCATTTTAAACCTGGTATTTATTTATGAAGTTTGGCCGTCAAATTGCAAGATTTATCATGCATTTCGGATGAAAAAGTCAGGTTGTAGGGTATTATTGGCTTCGTGTTAGTGGTGGTGGCGGCCATGTAAGAATACTCTTAGTCTTATTTCAGAGGACGTGAAGCCTACTCCAAGAGTGAGAGGTTGCTGCTGCCCTGACAAGATGAACCCATTATTATTAGTATTATTATTAACATCTTTATTGACCAAATTTAATTACAATTTTGCCCAATCTGAGGATTTCAATTAAGTGTTATTAAAATGAGGATAAGGCTGGTATTCACTGTCACACAGGACAGAGGGTCATACACAAGACTATAGGTCTAAACTGTAGATATCATTTCACTTTCTGGTGGTCCATCACTACTGGTATTTTCTGGTGGTCCATCACTACATATTGGTACTTTCTGGTGGTCCATCACTACATATTGGTACTTTCTGGTGGTCCATCACTACATATTGGTACTTTCTGGTGGTCCATCACTACATATTGGTACTTTCTGGTGGTCCATCACTACATATTGGTACTTTCTGGTGGTCATCACTACATATTGGCACTTTCTGGTGGTCCATCACTACATATTGGCACTTTCTGGTGGTCCATCACTACATATTGGTACTTTCTGGTGGTCCATCACTACATATTGGTACTTTCTGGTGGTCCATCACTACATATTGGTACTTTCTGGTGGTCCATCACTACATATTGGTACTTTCTGGTGGTCCATCACTACATATTGGTACTTTCTGGTGGTCCATCACTACATATTGGTACTTTCTGGTGGTCCATCACTACATATTGGTACTTTCTGGTGGTCCATCACTACATATTGGTACTTTCTGGTGGTCTGTCACTACATATTGGTACTTTCTGGTGGTCCATCACTACATGTTGGTACTTTCTGGTGGTCCATCACTACATATTGGTACTTTCTGGTGGTCCATCACTACATATTGGTACTTTCTGGTGGTCCATCATTACATACTGTATTGGTACTTTCTGGTGGTCCATCATTACATACTGTATTGGTACTTTCTGGTGGTCCATCACTACATATTGGTACTTTCTGGTGGTCCATCACTACATATTGGTACTTGCTGGTGGTCCATCACTACATATTGGTACTTTCTGGTGGTCCATCGCAACATATTGGTACTTTCTGGTGGTCCATCACTACATACTGGTACTTTCTGGTGGTCCATCACTACATATTGGTACTTTCTGGTGGTCCATCGCAACATATTGGTACTTTCTGGTGGTCCATCACTACATACTGGTACTTTCTGGTGGTCCATCATTACATACTGTATTGGTACTTTCTGGTGGACCATCACAACACACTGGTACTTTCTGGTGGTCCATCACAACACACTGGTACTTTCTGGTGGTCCATCACTACATATTATTTACAGCAGTCTTACTATTCACACCAGGATGTGTTATTTACACCAGTCTATGCTATTTGCACCAGCTTGTGCTATTGTTTTTCTTTATTAAATAATATTCAATATAAAAATCATATTTACATCAATTTACAAGGGGAAAATAGTACATTTATATATAGTTTATATAATTGTCAGTAAGTCAGTATACTCTGGCATATGTATCAAGTAGCTAAAACGTTTTTTTTTTTTTTTTTACAAAAATAATGTCCTTAAACATTTACAATATTCCTTTGCATTATTTCCTTTCTAATGGTAACACCTAAGATAGCCAATGACTTATGGTACACATTCAGTCTCCCTATTCCACTGTTTTTCTTACCTTTACATAGTGTAGTCCGTTTAATTGGTTGGTATCTACCATACCATACAGAGCTAAAAATAGTTTTGTCAATCTCCATAGCACTTTTCTTATCAATTGGAAAACTGTGAGACAAATACCACACTTTAGACAAAATTTTGCAATTGATTATCACAGCCTTCTGAACCAGGGTTAATTTACTGTTTGACAACATATTCGTAGCAACTATTATATTTCTACAGAGTACTTGCCAATTTGACACTAGCAAATATATGGTATATGGTAGTATATGGCTGTATATAGTAGGCAGGCGATGAGTCACAATAACGTGACTAAAGTATGTTGACCAGACCACACACTAGGTGAAGGGACGACGACGTTTCGGTCCGTCCTGGGCCAGGTCCAGGACGGACTGAAACGTCGTCGTCCTTCACTTTCTAGTCTGTATATAGTAGTATATGGCGGTATATGGTATATGGGTGTACATGATATTATATGGTAATATATGGTAGTATATGGCAGTACAGCATAGGAGACCAGGTAGACTTGTATCACTCAACCCTAATGCTCAAACTGGCCCATGTTGAGTTTGTTTACTTATTTTTGACTAGCTTTAGAGGTCAGTTTCCTCCGTGTGGTGTCTGTAGCTTGAGGTTAACATAAACATTCGTGTTACAGGAGCAGGTGCAGACCACGGAGATGAGTCGCATAACTTTACTGAAGAATGCTGTCTCTCTTCCCAAACGACTGCCCAAAACGGTGAGTCTTGTCACCATCTATTCCAGGGACCTGCCCGAAACGCTACGCGTACTAGTGGCTGTACAAGAATGTAACAACTCTTGTATATATCTCAAAAAAAAAAAAAAAAATCTGTTGTTCCAGCACCGGTCGGGAGGGAGGGAGTAGGGAGCCGGTCGGCCGAGCGGACAACACGCTGGCTTGTGATCCTGTGGTCCTGGGTTCGATCCCAGGCGCCGGCGAGAAACAATGGACAGAGTTTCTTTCACCCCATGCCCCTGTTACCTAGCAGTAAAATAGGTACCCGGGTGTTAGTCAGTTGTCACGGGCTGCTTCCTGGGGGTGGAGGCCTGGTCGAGGACCGGGCCGCGGGGACACTAAAAAGCTCCGAAATCATCTCAAGATAACCTCAAGAAGCACTGCTGGCTGTTATGCTTCGCGGAGCCACTACTTCCATTTGTTGTTTAGGTCTGTTATGCATTAATAAAGTACATTGCAAATGAATAGAGTAGCTTAGGCTGTTCCTACCCTCCTCCACTTAAGGTCCCACAAGGGGCTCACAAAGTCATACAGTACACAAATAATAATCATATTGTACATTACATTTACATTAATTCAATAGTCATAGCATAGTGCATATTACAAAATATATTACAAGAATTTTAGTATCTATTTCTTAACCCGTTTGCGTTTCAAGATAGACAACATTTTTACCCGTGTCTGCGATTTCACTGAGAAGTAAGTCTTTAGACACAGACTCCCAACACTGTAACACAGCTTCTTGCTCAACACAGACTCCCAACACTGTAACACAGCTTCTTGCTCAACACAGACTCCCAACACTGTAACACTGCTTCTTGCTCAACACAGACTCCCAACACTGTAACACAGCTTCTTGCTCAACACAGACTCCCAACACTGTAACACAGCTTCTTGCTCAACACAGACTCCCAACACTGTAACACTGCTTCTTGCTCAACACAGACTCCCAACACTGTAACACAGCTTCTTGCTCAACACAGACTCCCAACACTGTAACACAGCTTCTTGCTCAACACAGACTCCCAACACTGTAACACTGCTTCTTGCTCAACACAGACTCCCAACACTGTAACACAGCTTCTTGCTCAACACAGACTCCCAACACTGTAACACAGCTTCTTGCTCAACACAGACTCCCAACACTGTAACACAGCTTCTTGCTCAACACAGACTCCCAACACTGTAACACAGCTTCTTGCTCAACACAGACTCCCAACACTGTAACACTGCTTCTTGCTCAACACAGACTCCCAACACTGTAACACAGCTTCTTGCTCAACACAGACTCCCAACACTGTAACACAGCTTCTTGCTCAACACAGACTCCCAACACTGTAACACAGCTTCTTGCTCAACACAGACTCCCAACACTGTAACACAGCTTCTTGCTCAACACAGACTCCCAACACTGTAACACAGCTTCTTGCTCAACACAGACTCCCAACACTGTAACACTGCTTCTTGCTCAACACAGACTCCCAACACTGTAACACAGCTTCTTGCTCAACACAGACTCCCAACACTGTAACACAGCTTCTTGCTCAACACAGACTCCCAACACTGTAACACAGCTTCTTGCTCAACACAGACTCCCAACACTGTAACACAGCTTCTTGCTCAACACAGACTCCCAACACTGTAACACAGCTTCTTGCTCAACACAGACTCCCAACACTGTAACACAGCTTCTTGCTCAACACAGACTCCCAACACTGTAACACTGCTTCTTGCTCAACACAGACTCCCAACACTGTAACACAGCTTCTTGCTCAACACAGACTCCCAACACTGTAACACAGCTTCTTGCTCAACACAGACTCCCAACACTGTAACACTGCTTCTTGCTCAACACAGACTCCCAACACTGTAACACAGCTTCTTGCTCAACACTTGTGCGTCTGCAAAACTCAAAGGTAATGTTACTCTTAACTATGTCTTCAGCTTCTATTTTGTCTAAACCGCTTTACCTTAGGTTTTGTTGCAACAGTTGTCACCACAGAGGGTTGAACACTGCCAGCACTAGAGGATAGTTCATTTTCTCGAGAGACGTCAGCAGTTATACGCCATCTCCACCTCTTTCACTAAAAATGTCCAACCACTTGGGGTGAACGGTAGAGCGACGGTCTCGCTTCATGCAGGTCGGCGTTTAATCCCTGACCTTCCACAAGTGGTTGGGCACCATTCCTTCCTCGCCGTCCCATCTCAGATCCTTATTCTGATTGATTGATGAAGATTAAGCCACCCAAAAGGGGCACGGGCATGAATAGCCCGTAAGTAGTGGCCCTTTTGAGCCATTACCAGTATCAAGAGCTGATACTGGAGATCTGTGGAGGTGCGACTGCACCCTGCGTGACGGGAGATGTCTCCCGTGACCTTATTCTGACCCTTTCCTAGTGCTATATAGTCGTAATGGCCTGGCACTTTCCCCCCTGACAATTCCCTTCCTTTCCCCCTCTTTAATCCCCCTCTTCTCCCTGTTTACCTGCCACAGCTAAATTTTCCAGTGCTTCAATCCTCTGGTATAACTTGTTGAGGTCTTCCAAGTTCTGTGTTCAGACCTCAGAGTCCACAACGCTGCCCCGCACCTCATCACAAGGGTACACTTTTTCGGTTTCCTTTCCCACAGCCACTAGACTATCCTTGATCGTCGCCGTGCCTTTCTCCCTCTTCATTCAACAGGACAAATATCTGGTTTTCTTTGTCACCACGGACAACATGCCTCTTCGCCCACACGTCTGTCATTGTTGATCTAAAGATATTCCCGGTCCAGATGTGTTGGATACTTGAACGCGATGACCTTCGTGTGAATTATTCCAATTTCAGGAGTAACCAAAACTACATTCTTAACTCCATCAGACGTTAGGGGTTCTACTGCCTTGTCTGTCCCAACTGTTGTGTAGGGCCGGCCCGGTGAACTCCTTAAACAAAAGTTCGCATTCACTAAATTCCAATTGAATCATCCATTCCAACTTATGATGAAAATTCGACCCCACATGTCATAGGAAATGAGAACCGCTTCCATCTATTAATGTGTGGGTGTTACCGGGTGTGGTGGTTCAAGCTCAAGTTAGTTTATTGAGGAAAGGGAATACATCTAAATGGGATAGAGTAGCTTAGGCTATTTCTACCCTCGTCTATATAAGGTCCTTCAAGGGGCTCACACACCCATACAATACACAATTATTAATCATATTCTACACTTCACATTCCAATGGTAATCACAAGACACACTGTGAGATCTCTTATTGATTATGCTGCCCCTGTCTTGTATTGTTCTGGAAAAGGAATCCAACACCCTGGTGCCGCGTGGCGTCGATCAGTATAGTCTTCCATGCCACACGCAACCACTGTCTTTGAAAGGACAAAACAAAGATCAACAGGAAGAAGATGACCGAAGTTATTTTGGTATTATCTAATTAGTAAAGGAGGCATGACTCACCTGTCTGTCTTAATTTAAGATTATACTCAATTGCCTGCGTCTTGCCAAGTACTGATTAAGCAGATTAGCTCATCCTAATGAGTTTGAGGTTAAAAAGACAATTTTTATCATCCATGTTTTTCTTTTCAAATTTATTTTTGTAATTTTTCAGCATGATGTATGTGAAGGTGAGAAAAGTACTTTTGATGAAGCCAGCAGAGGTAACAAGAGTGACGAGCTGTCATTGTCGCAGGAGAGACTGACAGCCCTCAGGCAACTGGGTGCGGAGAAGGCAGAGGTAGAGGCCTTGAAGAGTGTCTTGGAGGAGAGGAAGAAGGAGCTTGTAATCACTAAGGAGAGGAAGGTTCAGCTGCAGCAGCAGTTGGCTCAGCTCCTACAGAGGAAGGAGAACGCCAGGATGTGTACCTTGGAGGTCAAGGATGCATCTCAGAGACTGAAACCCATTCTGGAAACTGTTCAAAAGTGAGCGCTCCGCTTGTCTTCTCACTCGCACCTATTGAAGGCATTCATATCGCTTGTAGTTATTAAGTTCATCAGAGAGCACCCATTTTGTAAATATATAGTAGTCTTAGACCTTGTAGTTTTAGACCTCGTAGCCTCAGAACTCGATCGTAGCCTCAGATCCCATAGGTTCATACCGTGTAGCCTTAGACCCGTAAGGGTGAGAGAAGAGAAGGAAAAGTCTTGATGAACACTCTCCTCGTTCAGTATATACCCGTTGTGCAAAGGCCGGGGAAATAAGCAGTGTCTGCAGCACTCTGCTCTGCCATCTCGCTACCTGCTAACCCCCCTCCCCCACACACACACACGTTTGTCAGCTTAAGGCATTACCAACACGAGGCCACACTGGAAGCCCTGTGTAGCTCTGTCACTGCACAGTGTTAGTATTCACCTATATGTACGTTGGTTTGGTTATCTTGAGATGATTTCGGGGCTTAGCGTCCCAGCGGCCCGGTCCTCGACCAGGGCCTCCTTTTTGTTACACACCCCCCTGGAAGCAGTCCGTAGCAGCTGTCTAACGCACAGGAACCTATTTACTGCTAAGTGAACAGGTACATTAGGGTGAAAGAAATTGCCCATTTGTTTCCACCTCCACCGGGGATCGAACCCTGAATCTCAGGACTGCGAATCTCAAGCGCTGTCCACTCAGCTATAAGGCCTCACTGGCAGTTCCTTCTTGTTCTCAATGTTCCACTTGATTCTTTCATGGTAATCGTACACACTTAACCAGCACGCCATTACCCATTATTTCCACATTCTTAGTTTGGATTTCTCTGTTGCATTGTTCATAGTTGTCTCTTGCCTTTTATTATTATTTTGACGGCTTAAAATATTACCTGCACTCATAAATAAGAGTCAATAGTATTGAAATATTCCAAAATATGGGAAAAAATTAAGAAGAGTCAAATATAAGTACAGTATAAATGAGCTATTTTCACACATAAAAGGTTAAATATTTATCTATATTTGTAATTTCATTTGTGACATACAATACAGTGTGATGTCCTGTATATTATCAGTCTGTAGAACTGTAGCGTGTAGAAAGATCAATATTCTAACAATTTCAGTTTGTGGTTATAACCCCACCTTCCTCCCCCCCGTCCCCCGAAACCCTGTATCGTTAGGGTTTCCCCCGAAACCCTGTATCGTTAGGGTTTCCCCCGAAACCCTAACATTTCACCCTAATTGAGAAACTGTGTTATTTGAGGAAAACCAAAACTGGTTTCTGATTGAGAAACCAACGACTTATCCGCCCCAGGATGAACCTATAGCAGTTGTCTAACTCGCGCGCTTAAATGATCGTGAAGACACTGCCGCTAAGGAGGCTGGCTGCACTTGTCTTTTTTCCAATAAAGGCATTCCTTATCCCGATTTCTACCCAGTCGTTCATTTTCTCAATCCGCGACCGTTGGCAGGGTCGCTGGTCTGAGGTCACAGGTAACAAACTGTACACTCTCAAAGCTAGCCCATCATCTTGGCTCCTCCTCCTACTACCGTAATAGATGGTGGGAAACGGCTGTGGCTAGGTTATGTATTGGTCATTCACGTTTAACTCGCGGACACCTAATGGAGCGCCGCCCTGCTCCGGACTGTTCAAACTGCATTGTCTCCCTTACAGTCGTGCATATCCTCGTGGAATGTCCCAATTTTTAGGAACATGTGTAACTCCCTGAAACTGTCCCTGAACAAGTTACAGGGAAAGTATGTTTTGCTTTCCTAATGTCACACGCGGTTTGTCAATTTTCCTAATTTGTCCCTAGGCAAAATCCTTGGCGAATCTGATACATTTGATATCACTCGTTATAAGTGTTTTTGTTCTCATATTGACATCCTCGGTGATGTTTAGTGCCCCTTTTGAATATCCAGCAACACTGATGGTGCTACATAATCTCCCCAGCTTGGTGCCTTTTTTTCATAGTAAATTATATGTTGCTAGATGAACAGCTGCATCAGGTGTAAGGAAACGTGTCCAAACGTCTCACCTTCCGTCATATTCTCTTACTGTATCTCTATTCATTTTCCCCACAGAACACTGGGTGCGAATGATGAGTTACTGGAGAAACTCAACCAAAAGACTGTGAAGCTACGGGAGGTTGCTGGCCACATCCAGCTGGCTGATCTACAGAAGAACGACCTCATCCAAAGGCTCCAGACAGTGAATAACAGCATCAAACACCTAGAAAATAGGAAGGCTAAAGCATTGGAGAAGTGGAGGAAGCTCCAGGAGAGGGAAATGAAAGCTGAGACAAAATGTAAATCTCTCTGGGAAAAAGTGAGTTTACCTTATAAGTTTTCCTGAGTTTACCTGTAGGGCCACTATCTCTAGCGGCCTCGACGAGGACAGGAAGCCAGACAGTTGTCACATATAATAATGATAATAGTAATAAGGTTTATGTAGGCAAGCGTACATAAAAGCGATACATGAAGAGTAGAGGAATGACAATTAACAAAAACACAGCGCCTAAATAACATAACAATTAGGAAAACAGTATTAAGCTTAATGGGGTAATTGTTAAAACTACACGAGACAATGTAACATTTATGAGTTGATGGAGAGAATTAGGAAATGATTGACAATTACCATATGATATTTGGGAACTGTAAACTTTGCAACAGTTCATAGCAAGTGATTTTAAACTGAAGAAGACATTAAACAGGTGATATACAATGTTTGTATTAACTGTTGGCATGGCAGTTATTAATAGTAGTACAGGTTTAGTTATCAATAATCGCAATAACAGCAAACACAGGAGGATTTTGGAAGTGAAGAGGATGTACGGTTGGTTACATACAGTTAACTAGGTAAATAAAGTTCGAGTCTCGAAGTAGACATATATATGAATGAGATTGGGTGGTTATAAATTGGAGCTGCTTCGTATGGGCCAACAAGCCTTCTGCTGTTACCTTCATGCTTACGTTCTTATGTTCTCCTAGAGCACAGGTCAATGGAATGGGAAAGTTAATTGGGTAGTTTTAAGATTCTCCCTTTTTAGTTTTTTGACTTGTTGAGAGAAGAACATTGTTTAAGGTTCTATATGTTGTCTCAAGACAGCCATGGCAGTTTTGCTGGGAGATGGTGGGTTTGTGGGGATTATTGATTGCTGCCGTCAGAGGCGGCTAGTTTATTGTGCACCCCGTACCCATCCTGTGAGCGGTAGCGCAAAAAGCATTACTGAGGGCACAAAAGGTCTTTATCAGACCTCAACTTAGATTATTATATAAACAATTTCATCTTTCCTTCACACCTTATAATTACGATGTCAGCTAGTTTTGTGGTGGTCGACCTCCATCCTCAGATACCATACGTTAGATAGGGATAAATGAGTGAGTTATATAGCTTGAGAAGACCAAAGGTGGAGAACATAATATCTAATTTTGTATAATATTCCAACTGTTTTGTATTTGTGTTTTGGCAATGTGTTGTATGTGCGAGTTGAAGTTAAATCTTTTGTTATTTGTATAAGCCTTGCAATCTTCCTCCACTTTAATTATTAATTTGTATATTGTTAATTTGAAAGTCAAGATGAACTTTTCTAAATAAAATGTAGTAGTAGTAGTAGTAGTATGTTTTTTTCAGTGTTTAGCGTGAGGTCGTTGGTAGACATCTAGGAGTGGACTTTTAGTAATTCATTGTTTGCTATAGTATTTGGTTCCATGGGAGAGTGGGAGAAGTTCTGTCACTTATCACATGCTGTTGAGGTCAGCGTGTAATGTTTATGATATTTGGTACTAGGTGGGAAGGGTCTTTGAGTGCTATGCTGTAGGTCATGAAAACAAAGTAGCTTTTCGTTGACCACAGCACACACTAGAAGGTGAAGGGACGACGACGTTTCGGTCCGTCCTGGACCATTCTCAAGTAGATTGTGAATGACTTGAGAATGGTCCAGGACGGACCGAAACGTCGTCGTCCCTTCACCTTCTAGTGTGTGGTCTGGTCAACATAATTTAGCCACGTTATTGTGACTCATCGCCTGCACAAAGTAGCTTTTCACATAAGCAGTACGAAGTTACTTAAAGATATGGTGTAAGAGTTAAGTTAACCTCAACTTTACAGAATTTAATTTATATTGAAACTAGTTTTGTTTTTTCCTGGCATTTAATAAATATACTTTCAAATTGCAGCTTTATGCAGACAGGAAGTCACAAGTGGTGGAGTTCGACGACATGTATAAAACACTCTGGGCGCATGTAGAGGATTGCGTCGGGTTTTGTGACAAAATATTAGAGATCACCAAGTCCGAAACCGAGACTTTTCAACTGAACACTTTGCCCGCTGCTGATGTTGGCGCACCCACAACTGGGGCCCAGGCGTCAGCCCTGACACCTTCATACAGTAAGGTAGTGGGCATGACAGAGCTTCCCATCCTTTCTAAAGGGTTTACTGTATGGCTTCCTCACAACACCGTCTCTTCTCCAGCGGCTACTAGCAACAAAGGCCCTCTACCAAATGCTGGTCATAAAGATTATCATCCACCTGTCATTGACCTCAAAAACTCTCCATCGCCTGTCATTGACCTCAGAAACTCGCCATCACCAGTCATTGACCTCAGAAACTCGCCATCGCCTGTCATTGACCTCAGAAACACTCCATCGCCTGTCATTGACCTCAGAAACTCTCCATCGCCTGTGATGAATCAGAGAAACTCCCCATCAGTAGCCACCGACAAGATCAATAAACCAGGGGCTGGTCTGACAAATACGGCTCCACCAGTTACTGCCCAAGAAGACCATCATCGACCAGTCCCTCATTCACCAGGCATTAGTCAAAGGAAGGATACTTTATCAGTGACCGGCCAGGGCGATTCTGTTCAACCAACCACTGTAAACAGAGACCCACTGTCAGAGGTCACTTGTCAGAGAGATCAACCTCCGCCAATCACTGGTAAGAGAAACCCTGCTTCACCAATCACAAGTCAATGTACGACTCTTCCACCAATCACTAGTCACCGGTATCCTTTTGTACCAGTCATTATTAACATAGATCTGCCTTTAGTTGCTGATCAGAGATGCCCTCCTTCACCAATGAGCGATCACAGAGAATCTCATCCACCAATCAGCGATCACAGAGAACCTCCTCCACCAATCAGCGATCACAGAGAATCTCCACCACCAATCAACGATCACAGAGATTCTCCACCACCAATCAGCGATCACAGAGAATCTCCACCACCAATTAGCGATCACAGAGAATCTCCACCACCAATCAACGATCACAGAGAATCTCCTCCACCAATTAATGATCACAGAGAACCTTCACGAACCATTGATCAGAGAAGCTCTCCTACACCAATCATTGATCATAGGACTTTTCCACATGTGACTAGTCACAATGGCCCGTCTCCACCAATCACTGACCAGAAAGAACCTCTACCAGTTACTGACCATAGGTACCTTCCACCAACCATTAATCAGAGAGACTCTCCTCCAACCATTGATCAAAGAGATCCTCCACCAACCATTGATCAAAGAGACCCTCCACCAATCAGTGATCAAAGAGACCCTCCACCAACCAATGGCCAGAAAGACCCTTCACCAACCATTGATCAAAGAGACCCTCCACCAACCATTGACCAGAAAGACCCTTCACCAACCATTGATCAAAGAGACCCTCCACCAACCATTGACCAGAAAGACCCTTCACCAACCACTGATCAAAGAGACCCTCCACCAACCATTGATCAAAGAGACCCTCCACCAACCATTGACCAGAAAGACCCTCCACCAACCATTGACCAGAAAGACCCTCCACCAACCATTGACCAGAAAGACCCTCCACCAACCATTGACCAGAAAGACCCTCCACCAACCATTGACCAGAAAGACCCTCCACCAACCATTGATCAGAAAGACTTAAATGTTATAGCCAGTAGGCTGAGAGAGTTCACTTTACAAGCACTGGGTCTGAAGCAGAGGTCACCCGAGGCATTCCCTAGTGGTCCAGGAGACGCTACCTCGCTAACCACTGGTCAGAGAGACCTTTCTTCACTGACCGCTGGCTTGGCAGAGCTTACTACCTTAATCACTGGTCAGAGAGACCGAACATCATTCATTTCTGGTCATGGAGACTTTACTTTCTTAGCCTCTAGTCAGGGAGGTCTTTCATCACCAACCATTAGTAAAGGAGGCCCTTCTACCCCAACTATTAGTAAAGGAGGCCCTTCTACACCAATCACTAGTAAAGGTGGCCCTTCTACACCAACCACTAGTCAGGGAGGCCCTTCTACACCAACCACTAGTCAGGGAGGCCCTTCTACACCAATCACTAGTAAAGGTGGCCCTTCTACACCAACCACTAGTAAACGACGCCCTTCTAAACCAACAATTAGTCAGGGAGGCCCTTCTACACCAACCACTAGTCAGGGAGGCCCTTCTACACCAACCACTAGTCAGGGAGGCCCTTCTATACCAACCACTATTAAAGGAGGCCCTTCTACACCAACCACTAGTAAAGGACGCCCTTCTATACCAACAACTATTCAGGGAGACCCTTCTACACCAACAACTAGTAAACGACGCCCTTCTACACCAACCACTAGTAAAGATGGCCCTTCTACACCAACCACTAGTCAGGGAGGCCCTTCTACACCAACTACTAGTAAAGGAGGCCCTTCTACACCAACCACTAGTAAAGATGGCCCTTCTACACCAACCACTAGTAAAGATGGCCCTTCTACACCAACCACTATTAAAGGAGGCCCTTCTACACCAACCACTAGTCAGGGAGGCCCTTCTATACCAACAACTAGTCAGGGAGACCCTTCTACACCAACAACTAGTAAAGGACGCCCTTCTACACCAACCACTAGTAAAGATGGCCCTTCTACACCAACCACTAGTCAGGGAGGCCCTTCTATACCAACCACTAGTCAGGGAGGCCCTTCTACACCAACCACTAGTAAAGGAGGCCCTTCTACACCAACCACTAGTAAAGGAGGCCCTTCTACACCAACCACTAGTAAAGATGCCCCTTCTACACCAACCACTAGTAAAGGACGCCCTTCTACACCAACCATTAGTAAAGGAGGCCCTTCTACACCAACCACTAGTCAGGGAGGCCCTTCTACACCAACTACTATTAAAGGAGGCCCTTCTACACCAACCATTTGTAAAGGAGGCCCTTCTACACCAACCATTAGTAAAGGAGGCCCTTCTACACCAACCATTAGTAAAGGAGACCCTTCTACACCAACCATTAGTAAAGGAGACCCTTCTACACCAACCACTATTAAAGGAGGCCCTTCTACACCAACTACTAGTCAGGGAGGCCCTTCGTCACCAAGCTCTTGTCAGAGAGGTCCATCTCCGTCAACTACTAACAATGAGGTCATTCACCACTAACCATTAGTTAGGGGGGGGGCTTTCGTGCACCAGTACTAACTAACCAGAGTTTCTTATCCAGCAGTCACTGCTCAGACCTGCTACTTGTTCCTGGTCACACAGATCCTTCTCCACTTCCTGGTCACACAGATCCTTCTCCACTTCCTGGTCACACAGATCCTTCTCCACTTCCTGGTCACACAGATCCTTCTCCACTTCCTGGTCACACAGATCCTTCTCCACTTCTCGGTCACACAGATCCTTCTCCACTTCCTGGTCACACAGATCCTTCTCCACTTCTCGGTCACACAGATCCTTCTCCACTTCCTGGTCACACAGATCCTTCTCCACTTCCTGGTCACACAGATCCTTCTCCACTTCCTGGTCACACAGATCCTTCTCCACTTCCTGGTCACTCAGATCCTTCTCCACTTCCTGGTCACACAGATCCTTCTCCACTTCCTGGTCACACAGATCCTTCTCCACTTCCTGGTCACACAGATCCTTCTCCACTTCCTGGTCACACAGATCCTTCTCCACTTCTCGGTCACACAGATCCTTCTCCACTTCCTGGTCACACAGATCCTTCTCCACTTCCTGGTCACACAGATCCTTCTCCACTTCCTGGTCACACAGATCCTTCTCCACTTCCTGGTCACTCAGATCCTACTCCACTTCCTGGTCACACAGATCCTTCTCCACTTCTCGGTCACACAGATCCTTCTTCACTTCCTGGTCACACAGATCCTACTCCACTTCCTGGTCACACAGATCCTTCTCCACTTCCTGGTCACACAGATCCTTCTCTGTGGAAACTGGAAAAAACTGGAGTCAAAATATATATCTGGGGTTTTCTCCCAATAAACAAAAATATTGATTTATGTAGAGTTTGAGAAAAACATTAGAAACCAACAAAAACTTGTCATTTTTTTTTTAATTGCAATATCAAAAAAATCTTTTGTATCTAGAGACATTCTAGCGAGGTTTCCAGGTTATTGTAAGTTATGTATACGATTTGTTGTTTTGAAGTTTTAATTTGTATTATTAAAGGAACCAAGTTTTGTCTTTGATGGAGTCAGTGTATTATATAATGATAGATGCCAGAAGAATGTGTCTCGCTGTGAGGCATCGCTGGGGTTGGGTTTCACAATATATTTGCTAATTCAAATTCAGAGACTTTATTCATTAATGTTTGTAAATTTATAGTTTGGTTAATTTACAACAATTTTGTCAATTATTTACCTAAGATAAAATAATAACATGCCAATGTAACTAGAGAAGAAGTAGACTGTTTGGATGTGATGCCTGTTTTATCACCTTTATTTTACACATAATATTATTTTTACACATAATTACACTTAATATGGTAATATTAAGGTAATATTTTTTTACTTTGGTTATTGTAAATATAAATCTGTATGAAGGTGATATATTGCAGGTACATAAGTACTGTACTGTATATATGGAATAACACTGCAAGTCAATTTATTTTTGACTGCATTATGCAGTGGGTGTTCTTTTTCAATTTTGTTTTTATTTTTAAAATAATTACAATATAAGTTTATTATTTGTAACATCTACTTAGTGTTTTCAAAGTGGTGTACGAGCAATAGACTATATAAAGGGGTGCATCATAGTCAATAAGAGTGTGTAAAGGGTGTGTCAGATATATAATAATTTCGACAGTTAAGTTGACATTTGTAATAATTAGTTGTGTACCAAGAAGTGACTTAACCTATTAACCAGATTGTGATCTGCTTTGGTTCCAAAGGCATCGTGGGCGGTGTTGAGCAACTCCTGTTGTGTGTTCACACACACTGTTACATAGCCCTCTCGGCTTGCTGCTCACCGGTGTGAATTACTCGTTCTTCAGCCTCTTCGGCAATATACAGTACTTCAGTTTCTAAATGTCACACATTCATGTGTTTTGTTTGAATGTACAGTACTTAAGTTTCTAAATGTCACACATTTACAGTACTTAAGTTTCTAAATGTCACACATTTACAGTACTTAAGTTTCTAAATGTCACACATTCACAGTACTTCAGTTTCTAAATGTCACACATTCATAGTACTTCAGTTTCTAAATGTCACACATTCACAGTACTTCAGTTTCTAAATGTCACACATTCATAGTACTTCAGTTTCTAAATGTCACACATTCACAGTACTTCAGTTTCTAAATGTCACACATTCATGTGTTTTGTTTGAATGTACTTCAGTTTCTACGTTTTACACATTTATATGTTTGTACTTTGAATATCCTGATGTTCCTACAGTTCAGACATTCATGTGTTTGTGTTCGTTAACATATTATTTAACATGTAGCCTGCAGCAAATAAACAATTAATTATTTGTTGTTAAGTTCTTTAAGTTGTCAATCTTTACTAATAAAGTATAAAATACTACCTGATATTGTTATGAACCAATGACTCCAGGATATATAAATACACTAACTTATTCTACTGTTACCAAAAAGAGAAAGATGTCCAGGAGGTAAGAACAGTAACGTCCCAACGTTACTGTAAGAACAGTAACGTCCCAACGTTACTGTAAGAACAGTAACGTCCTAACGTTACTGTAAGAACAGTAACGTCCTAACGTTACTGTAAGAACAATAACGTCCCAACGTTACTGTAAGAACAGTAACGTCCCATGAGCTTTGGCTCTTTGGTCCCGCCTCTCAAATGTCAATCAACTCTCATACAGATTTTTGGGCCTACTGGGCACTATCAAATCTGCATTTGAAACTGTGTATAGAGTCAGCCTTCATCACATCAGTGCCTAATGCATTCAGTTTGTTAACTACTCTGACACTAACGTCCCTGTGGCTCATTTGGGTACTAAGTTTCCATCTGTACTCACGTTTAGTACTCATCTGTGTCCCCTTGTTCGTGTTCCTCGCTGTTTATATCTATATTTTTTTTAACAGGTTTAGGTATATACACCAAATGCTACCCTATTCTATATGAAAGATTACACAGTGTTGATCAATAAAAAAAAATAGCGTTGTCATAATTTTCTTTCGACAAAAATTAGACATACAGGTACAGTATTTCTCATTTAGTTTAGGTCAAACACCATCGGTATAAGTTTTTAGTAACGTATAATCAAGACATAATCATGTACATAATCATACTAATATCTGTCTATGCAGATACATTTCTGGAGTAAAACTGGAATGAGCATCCCCTGAACCTGGATAGATAATTCCTGCCCGAAACGCTTTGCGTAATAGTGGCTTTAGGCATTGTATGTACTAGCTCTATCTATAAATCTATCAATTTTTGTAAAATCTCTTGTATGTATGTACGTTACCTGAATAAACATTTATTTATTTATTTATTTATTTATTTATTTATTATTTATTAAGTCTCATATTGTCACGTGACTTGGGATGGCTTTTTTTGAAATACTCTTGGTATAACAATTATAGTGAAGTTTATTCAAAGATGTACCTTAGATGTAAATTACATTTTGCATACTGTACATTTGCATTGATTAGATGTATTTAGAACTTGACATATGCAAGTAATTTGAACGTCCTATAACGGTTTGAATCCAAGTCAGTTACCGTTACGGATAAGTTTATAATTGACCTACTAAGGTAATTACTAAAAGCAAATAAACTTTTTAAAATATAATATAAACTAAATCTTATTTTAGATAAATCTAATCTAACCTAGGGTTATTATATTGTTTTATTTAAAGCAACACAAATGGGTAAGGATGTCAAGAGTATGATGCTGACATGTGCGGGAGACTGGGAGTCGTCAGCCATACACGCGTGTGTATACAGACGCCGAGGGCCTCACACCTCAAGTGTCCTGGAAATATTCCACAAAGATGGCCTCACACCATTTTACACACTACATGTACCCCATATGTTCATTGTGGCTTGTTGAGGGCATTACCGGTGAGAACAAGACATCTGGCGGAGGATGAGAGATGCTTGAGGGCGGCCATACATACATGGCTTCTCTCCTGAACACAACCTCTATGTATCACCTGTGTCCAAGGCTGCGGGGACACGTGCCGCTTTGGGAGGCTACTTATCCAGGTCTGTATACAATGAACAAGTACGTGTTATTGTGGATAGGTAGTAATTTTTCATCACGAGGTAGTTTATATTTTTCTCCCTGCCATCGTTCACTAATATCTATGTGCTTGTCTTGGCTAGAATTTGGCTGGTTTATTTATTGATGTTTCACGTGTGTCTTGGCAGCTCTACGAGTGAAAACAAAAATGTTATATATAATCTATATTAGATTTGAATGCGTGAAACTGGTCTAGTTAATTAGCTAATTATGGGGTCTATATCCATCGTATGGGTGGTGTTTGAAGGTGTATTGGTTAATTAGCTAATTATGGGGTCTATATCCATCGTATGGGTGGTGTTTGAAGGTGTATTGGTTAATTAGCTAATTATGGGGTCTATATCCATCGTATGGGTGGTGTTTGAAGGTGTATTGGTTAATTAGCTAATTATGGGGTCTATATCCATCGTATGGGTGGTGTTTGAAGGTGTATTGGTTAATTAGCTAATTATGGGGTCTATATCCATCGTATGGGTGGTGTTTGAAGGTGTATTGGTTAATTAGCTAATTATGGGGTCTATATCCATCGTATGGGTGGTGTTTGAAGGTGTATTGGTTAATTAGCTAGTTATGGGGTCTATATCCATCGTATGGGTGGTGTTTGAAGGTGTATTGGTTAATTAGCTAATTATGGGGTCTATATCCATCGTATGGGTGGTGTTTGAAGGTGTATTGGTTAATTAGCTAATTATGGGGTCTATATCCATCGTATGGGTGGTGTTTGAAGGTGTATTGGTTAATTAGCTAATTATGGGGTCTATATCCATCGTATGGGTGGTGTTTGAAGGTGTATTGGTTAATTAGCTAATTATGGGGTCTATATCCATCGTATGGGTGGTGTTTGAAGGTGTATTGGTTAATTAGCTAATTATGGGGTCTATATCCATCGTATGGGTGGTGTTTGAAGGTGTATTGGTTAATTAGCTAATTATGGGGTCTATATCCATCGTATGGGTGGTGTTTGAAGGTGTATTGGTTAATTAGCTAATTATGGGGCCTATATCCATTGTATGGGTGGTGTTTGAACATACAAGCAATTAATCTGCAGAGGACATTTGTGCCCATGTGAGGCAATTCTGTGTGGGGGGGAACAATTTAAATTGTCACAGTTGTCTTATTTTTAATACTATATTGTTAGGTTCCATATGGTTATTCTAGGTTAGGGCAAGTTTTGGTGTTCCAGAAAAAGTCCACCATTGGAGGACTTGTCATGTGCACGAAATGACCAGTTTCCTTCTAAATTGTACTCGGTCACTTGCAGTTGTGTTTTTGTCGTGCCTGTAGTTGAAAAAAAAAAAAAGTGATTTTGCTTTTACGATACTTGTTCCACACATTGGAGTCTTATTGCTGCACCAGTGTTATGCGTTTTTAATTTTTTTTTTTAACTTTCAATCTAAATATTGTTTAGTTTGGGATAACGAGGGCAGTGTTCCTTCACTCTACCTACCCCTGTGCACCGCGGTAATCCAACACTTTGGTGTTATTCTCGATTGTTGTTCTCGACACTGAACTCGACTGTTCAGTGTCATGTTCAGGGGAAAACTTTTACCAATTGTGCTTTCGATTTCGATTGTCGATGAATTGGCAAACCGCAGCAAAGTTCAGAGTCTAGAAATGCATTATTAATTTTTTCTCACCTTTTGAAGTGAGAGGATTAATTCATTAGCTCCCTTGCCTCTCATTAGTCTAATAGCCGAAGCTTCATTTATCTTTGAAATTCTATCCCCAATACTCTGTAAATTCGATTATATCATTATTATCTCAGTAATAGTATATCTTGGGTTATGAGAATAATCTTGGTATTATTCTCATGGTTTCATGAGAAACCATGAAGAATTATGCTTTGGCAATGAAATGCATTCTTATATGACATCATGCTTCTAACATTAGAACATAGAGATGTTGTTATGCTTTTACATCCATTATTCATTTCTTCTCACCTTTTGAAGTGAGAGGATTAATTCATTAGCTCCCTCGCCTCTCATTAGTCTAATAGCCGAAGCTTCATTAATCTCTGAAATACTATCCCCAGTACTCTGTAAGGTCAATCATATCATTATCTCAGTAATAGTATTTCTTGGATCATGAGAATGATCTTGGGATTATTCTCATGGCTTCATGTTGTACCTTCTCCAACTTGTTTAGTCTGCCTTTACCAACACAAGACAAGACGGGCTGCATAAACAATATGAGATCCCACAGTGTCTTGTGATTACCATTGGAATGTGAAGTGTAGAATATGATTAATAATTGTGTACTTTATGGGTTTGTGAGCCCCTTGAGGGACCTTATCATAAATAAGAAAGCTAATGTAGTGTAATGTACTACTAATGTAGTGTAGTGTAAGAAAGCTATGTAGGAATGCAAGGGTTTTAAGAATGGAGATGTCTGTCTAGAATGACAATTGATCAAACTATCAAGAACAGTTTAAGAAAAAGTTATAAGTACTGTACATGTAGCAAAACAGGCAGAAACAAATCTTAAAGGTTTCTTTTACATACTATATATAAAGTTAATGTTAAAAGTAGGCCTAGGTTATTGAAAAGCAAGACATAAGAACATAAGAACAAAGGTAACTGCAGAAGGCCTATTGGCCCATACGAGGCAGCTCCTATCTATAACCACCCAATCCCACTCATATACTTGTCCAACCCGCGCTTGAAACAAAGACAGGTCAGATTAATACTGTAATTTCAAAGAAATGGTTAGTACTGTATTCTAAATAAATACAGTACTTTGTACACACAGAAATCACAATAGCATAATATGTCAAATGAACAGTTTGACATTTCATTTCAGTTTCGTGTGTTACGTCTATTCAAATGACGTGTTCATTGACAGTACATACTTTGTATTTACTATAAGAACTTCACATTTACCATTTGCTCATTTGTCAGGGTGATTTTAAAAATAAATTTGATAGACCTTTGTTTTGCAGACAGTATTTAATAAATCTTTTAAAAGAGTCAAGCATAATACTGTACTGTAATCTTGAAGGGTTGCAAATGTGATGCCAATTGTTGCAGTCCCTGTGGCGAAGTGGTAACACACTCGCTTGGCGTTTCATGAATGCTTTGGCCTGGGTTCGTATCCTGGCCGGGGAAGATTTACTTGGCGCCAATCTTTAACTGTAGCCTCTGTTCACCCAACAGTGAATGGGTACCTGGTTGTTAAACGATTTGGTGGGTCGTATTCCGGGGAAAATTAGGATTAAGGACTTACCCGAGACGCTATGCGTGCTCGTAGCTGTACAAGAATGTAAGAACTCTGGAATATATATAAAAAAAGCAACGCTTGTGTTACTAATTTTTCAGTTGACTAAATGTTTGGTGAAGAAAAGTGTTTGAATTGATAATTGCTAGTCATTAAAAGCATAATAATACAGGTGTCATCACAAGGTTTTACTAAGGGCTGCTGATGTTTACAAAAATTACTACAGTATTTATCAGCATATCTTAAGCTGTTGAAAGTGTAAAAAAAATTGGTCATTATGTCTAAACTTTAGGAAAGTCTTTTAATAACCTGTTCTGTGTTTCATGAAAGACTCGTTAGAAAGGTAGAGGTACATGGTACTTGTACGGTTATCTCAAGTTAGATTAGGACTTGGTTATTTCAAGGGAAACAGGGTTCACATAAATGAAGTATCCACATTGGGGAAAGCATTACAAGTGCAGTGCCAAAAGGTTTTCTCCTGTCTGGGGTATAAATTGGAGCTGCCTAACATGGGTCAATAGGTCATATTTGGTGTACTGTGATCTTGTGTAGCTTGCATTAATCAGACAAAACTTTTAACTTATTCCACTTTTAACTGTGTTGAAGAACCGAGATTGATTTATCCTTTTGGATAGTTTTAATTAACCTGTATATTTTTACAGTTACTGTAGTGATGGGTTTATAGAATGGAAAGCAGTTTTGTAACATGTGTACCTCAAATAGTGTACTGTACTTGTTCGTTGGTTTACAACCACTATGTGGGTCCCGGTAGTACTGTTGGGTTCGTTCTTGACTCAATCTAGAATTCTGAGTTTGAATCCCGGGCGGGACAGAAATAATTGGGCTCATTTCCTATCACCTAATGCCCCTGTTTACCTAGCAGTAGGTAGGTACTCAGGAGTTAGTCAGCTTGTGGGGTTGCATCCTGGGCGGGGTCAGTAATTGGACCTTTGGTGGGAGGGGGGGGGGCCTTGATATAAGCCTAACATCCATGAATACACACTGACTGCTTGAACCGCGACACAATGAATTATTATTATTATATTTACACATTGACGTAGCTGGAGGTAAATAATGTACCTTATTTCAGTTTTCTCTGCTTTAATCAACTTGCCCTACTTGATATATGTGAAATAACAAATCAAAGGTATCAGGAGGAAATTACAAATCATCATAAAAATGAACTCTACCACAAGAACAAATGAATATTATCTAATGAATATGAGTTTTAGAAATATAATGCACATGCAGTTTGTGCTTCACTTTTCAAATACTCTCAATGTACGCCCCCATATCATGGGTATTACCAGTCAGCCTAATCGGTGCAAGACTAAAATATCTGGTAAAGGGACTTGTATGCATAATGCTTCACTTCCCCCCCCCCCCCTCCCGTCCCATCCCAAATCCTTATCCTGACCCCTTTCAAGTGCTATATAGTCCTAATGGCTTGGCACTTTCGCTTGGCAATGGATGAGCATTAATATTTTTGTTTTACTATATTCTTGGCTGCTTTTTGTTTTTCAATAATATTAAGTTTCCTTAAATGTGTAAATAATCACCATTATCTATGTAACAAATAATTCAATGCTAATGAATTTTTTTTATATTTGTCACCAAATTAATATTGAATTTAAGGAGCATGACGATAAATGGCGATTTGAGAACTGCAGAAGTTTAGGTTGAGTTCCCCGAGGGTTGAATTTGCCTTGCTTTGATGACCAGTTCTTTGATTTTTTATCTTTGATCTTATCTGACTCCAAAGAAAACTATGTACTACAGCTGGAAATGTTTTTGCCTCGTATTTCTTTAATATAGTTCACATTGATGCTTTCATTTTGTTAAGCAAAAGTAATAATATACTTCAACAGCTGAATATTATCATATGCACCTGAAACATTGAAGAGTGGATTAGAAAAAGCTTTGCTTTCCCAACGAGAGTAAAATGCAGTTAAAGTTTTAAACATTTATTTAAACGGTACTATGACATAGATTCATGAAAGCTTGTTAAAAAAAAGCAGGATAGTTTTTTTTTATTGTATGTTAAAACCCTTTTCTTTATTTTTTCAGGCATTTCTAAAAGCTACTGTAATGGTTTGTTTCGTGAGAATCAACAGAGCATCACCAGGAGCCCTTGATTTTGTGGATTTACTGTCTGCAGTTTCCTCACAGCCCTGAGGCAATGGAACATCCATATTTCCATTAAATTGTAATGGCCCAAGATGAGCAACGAGTTCACCGGCACCTACTGCTCCTGCCATGCCTGGGACGTTTGAGTAGAATTGGTGTGTACCGTATCTTTTTGTTTTACACCTTCCTCCAAATAGCATCGTTATTGCATTTTATACTGCAAGCATCTGGTTGTGCTTGACTATCAAATGGGTGTTGACAGTTGGTTTACTTTTGGTGGAAGACCTGAAGCAGTACTTTCTGACAAAGTTGGCCTCCAGTCCCCATATTTGTTAAATGAGAGTATCTGTTCCTAAAGCACACGGTGGATGTAATTATTAGTTTGTTTCCTGGCATCCTACAGTCTTTCTTGACTAGACATCTTGAGTGTTACAAATACCCTTGATGGAGTAATGTAATTATTATTATTATTATTGTTTTAGATAATGTATATGCTTGTTGCCATAGTTCATTACTTTTATAAAATGATGTCTTTTTAATATATTAAATGCTCATGAATAATGTAAACACCACTATAATATAAAATTTAGTAAATAGCAAATAAACAATAAAATTATTGAGATGCATCAATTTTTATTTAAGATTGAATATCGAGGAGTATGATGATAAAAGGCCGATATGAGAACTGCAGAAGTTTAGGTTGAGTTCCCCTAGGGTTGAATTTGCCTTGCTTTTGATGACCAGTTCTTTGATTTTTTATCTTGAAGCTTTGATCTTATCTGACTCCAAAGGAAACTTAATGCACTGCTGTAAATGTTTATTTCTATTTCTTAAATGCAGTTCACAAAGTAACAACTACTGTGGTAACTGTTGTAAGTAACAACAGGAGTTGTTACTTTGTGTTTTTTTGTGAATACTAGACTTTGAAAGCTGTATATTATAATGTGAAGTGGAATCTCGATGAAAGTTGCCAATTCTATCCAAAGTTTTGTGCGCCAAATGCTCTTGCAGTATTTTGAACTGATTTCTACATACAGGTATTATGACTTGTACCTGCATAAAAACTTTGACAAATTTTAGGGAAAGTTTTTTGTGTATTAAAACCTTTTACTTTTTTCAGGCATTCACAAAAGCTGTGGTAACTTGTCTAGAACAAGTATGACCACACTTACTGTCCACAGCTCTTAATTTGTCAGTATGTATGGTCACCAAAAGTATCTCACAGCTCAAGGTTGTGGAATATAGCTGACTCTTTGGTGAATTGTAACAGAAGAAGATTGACTTATGACTTCACCAGCACCCACTCCTCCGGCCCTGGCTGGGATGTTCGAGTAAAATTGGTATGTACTATTGTCACGCATTCTTCTTAAATGTATTTTTGTTGCTTTGTATGTTGAGGCAAATTATTGTAAGTCTATACTGTATTTACATGTTCTAAAGAGTATTTGTGTGCTTACTGTATTTGTTTTATCCTCCTGTTGGATAGTGTGTGGCTATGTCCATTCTTTGGATGTACCCACTATTTTGTTTCCTGCCCACGGTGGATGTGGCCACTATTTTGTTTCCTGCCCACGGTGGATGTGGCCACTATTTTGTTTCCTGCCCACGGTGGATGTGGCCACTATTTTGTTTCCTGCCCACGGTGGATGTGGCCACTATCTTGTTTCCTGCCCACGGTGGATGTACCCACTATTTTGTTTCCTGCCCACGGTGGATGTGGCCACTATTTTGTTTCCTGCCCACGGTGGATGTGGCCACTATCTTGTTTCCTGCCCACAATGGATGTGGCCACTATCTTGTTTCCTGCCCACGGTGGATGTGGCCACTATTTTGTTTCCTGCCCACAATGGATGTGGCCACTATCTTGTTTCCTGCCCACAGTGGATGTGGCCACTATCTTGTTTCCTGCCCACGGTGGATGTGGCCACTATTTTGTTTCCTGCCCACAGTGGATGTGGCCACTATCTTGTTTCCTGCCCACAGTGGATGTGGCCACTATCTTGTTTCCTGCCCACGGTGGATGTGGCCACTATTTTGTTTCCTGCCCACGGTGGATGTGGCCACGATCTTGTTTCCTGCCCACGGTGGATGTAGCCACTATTTTGTTTCCTGCCCACGGTGGATGTGGCCACTATCTTGTTTCCTGCCCACAGTGGATGTGGCCACTATCTTGTTTCCTGCCCACGGTGGATGTGGCCACTATTTTGTTTCCTGCCCACAGTGGATGTGGCCACTATCTTGTTTCCTGCCCACGGTGGATGTGGCGACTATTTTGTTTCCTGCCCACGGTGGATGTGGCCACTATTTTGTTTCCTGCCCACGGTGGATGTGGCCACTATTTTGTTTCCTGCCCACGGTGGATGTGGCCACTATCTTGTTTCCTGCCCACAGTGGATGTGGCCACTATCTTGTTTCCTGCCCACAGTGGATGTGGCCACTATCTTGTTTCCTGCCCACGGTGGATGTGGCCACTATCTTGTTTCCTGCCCACGGTGGATGTGGCCACTATCTTGTTTCCTGCCCACGGTGGATGTGGCCACTATTTTGTTTCCTGCCCACAGTGGATGTGGCCACTATCTTGTTTCCTGCCCACAGTGGATGTGGCCACTATCTTGTTTCCTGCCCACGGTGGATGTGGCCACTATCTTGTTTCCTGCCCACAGTGGATGTGGCCACTATCTTGTTTCCTGCCCACGGTGGATGTGGCCACTATCTTGTTTCCTGCCCACGGTGGATGTGGCCACTATCTTGTTTCCTGCCCACAGTGGATGTGGCCACTATCTTGTTTCCTGCCCACAGTGGATGTGGCCACTATCTTGTTTCCTGCCCACGGTGGATGTGGCCACTATTTTGTTTCCTGCCCACAGTGGATGTGGCCACTATCTTGTTTCCTGCCCACAGTGGATGTGGCCACTATCTTGTTTCCTGCCCACGGTGGATGTGGCCACTATCTTGTTTCCTGCCCACAGTGGATGTGGCCACTATCTTGTTTCCTGCCCACGGTGGATGTGGCCACTATCTTGTTTCCTGCCCACGGTGGATGTGGCCACTATCTTGTTTCCTGCCCACAGTGGATGTGGCCACTATCTTGTTTCCTGCCCACAGTGGATGTGGCCACTATCTTGTTTCCTGCCCACGGTGGATGTGGCCACTATTTTGTTTCCTGCCCACGGTGGATGTGGCCACTATTTTGTTTCCTGCTCACAGTGGATGTGGCCACTATTTTGTTTCCTGCCCACGGTGGATGTGGCCACTATTTTGTTTCCTGCCCACAGTGGATGTGGCCACTATCTTGTTTCCTGCCCACGGTGGATGTGGCCACTATTTTGTTTCCTGCCCACAGTGGATGTACCCACTATTTTGTTTCCTGCCCACGGTGGATGTGGCCGCTATCTTGTTTCCTGCCCACGGTGGATGTGGCCACTATTTTGTTTCCTGCCCACGGTGGATGTGGCCACTATCTTGTTTCCTGCCCACGGTGGATGTGGCCGATATCTTGTTTCCTGCCCACGGTGGATGTGGCCGCTATTTTGTTTCCTGCCCACGGTGGATGTGGCCACTATTTTGTTTCCTGCCCACGGTGGATGTGGCCGCTATTTTGTTTCCTGCCCACGGTGGATGTGGCTGCTATTTTGTTTCCTGCCCACGGTGGATGTGGCTGCTATTTTGTTTCCTGCCCACGGTGGATGTGGCTGCTATTTTGTTTCCTGCCCACGGTGGATGTGGCCACTATTTTGTTTCTTGCCCACGGTGGATGTGGCTGCTATTTTGTTTCCTGCCCACGGTGGATGTGGCCACTATCTTGTTTCCTGCCCATGGTGGATGTGGCCACTATCTTGTTTCCTGCCCACGGTGGATGTGGCCACTATCTTGTTTCCTGCCCATGGTGGATGTGGCCACTATCTTGTTTCCTGCCCACGGTGGATGTGGCCACTATCTTGTTTCCTGCCCACGGTGGATGTGGCCACTATTTTGTTTCCTGCCCACGGTGGATGTGGCCACGATCATGTTTCCTGCCCACGGTGGATGTGGCCACGATCTTGTTTCCTGCCCACAGTGGATGTGGCCACTATTTTGTTTCCTGCCCACGGTGGATGTGGCCACTATTTTGTTTCCTGCCCACGGTGGATGTGGCCACTATTTTGTTTCCTGCCCACAGTGGATGTGGCCACTATTTTGTTTCCTGCCCACGGTGGATGTGGCCACTATTTTGTTTCCTGCCCACGGTGGATGTGGCCACTATTTTGTTTCCTGCCCACGGTGGATGTGGCCACTATCTTGTTTCCTGCCCACGGTGGATGTAACCACTGTATTTTCCTGCATCCTACATTCTCCCCTGGCTAAACATCCCAAGTGTTGCTAATATCCTTGGTGGGGACCGACCTAAATCATGCGTGTTTATGACATTTCAAGTTCTGTAGGATAGAAATACTGTACAGTACAGAATAAAGGGATTTTGTAAATGATTAAATCTTGGAAAAGTGCCTCAAATAATGTGCTTGAGAGTTTGTTTTCGTTAAATGTTTACAAACCTAGTCGTGCCTCACTGTTTAATGATTGAATGGATGCACCCATATCTGGGGTGTTACCAGTTTGTTTACTTGGTGCAAGATTGAAATATCTGCTAAGGGGACTTGATAGCATAATGCTCAATTTACGAAGACAAGACATGCATTAAGATTTTTTTCTTTACCAGATTTTTTGCTAATGATGATGATGATATTTATTATTATTGTTACATTATTATTATTATGATTATTATTATTGAGAAAATCCACTGGAGCCGTGATGAGGATTCGTAGCAATGGCTTCTATGAAACCTATGGTTCGGTTTCAGTGGAAGTCTTGGGATTCCTAGTAAGTGCAGTAGTACCCCAAGTTGCAATTCTTTTACCATGTCATGGCGTAGTCGTTTTGAGCGTGCAACTGGGAATACCCAGCGCATAGGTTCAAATCCTCACCATGGCTCCTGTAGATTTTCACATTGATAGTACAGTAAACCGAGGTACTACTGTATATCCAAAATGTCACATTTGGTTGATTGCTTTCATACAAATTGTTTAACAAAAAATGTCCTTAATCATAATTAGTCACCACTATTGATGTATAACGGTTATACAGTAATTTTAGATTTTGAATATCGAGGAGTATGATGATAAAAGGCCGATATGAGAACTGCAGAAGTGTAGGTTGAGTTCCCCGAGGGTTGAATTTGCCTTGCTTTTGATGACCAGTTCTTTGATTTTTTATCTTGAAGCTTTGATCTAATCTGACTCCAAGGGAAACATTGTAGTACTGTAAAATATTTTAACTAAAAAAAAAATATGAAATATAGTTCACATGCATAATATTTATGTAATGATGCAGAAAGCTATACAAAAATACAGTAATTGTTTAAAAAGCTATATTATCTTAATATGAAGAGTGAACGAGAAGTCTTGCCTTATTGATGCCAACTGCTGCTTTCACCCGTAGTTGTACTGTATGTCAATTTTTTTCTAAATGAATGCACTCGTATCTGTGTGGGATCATTAGTTGAATTGTGCAATACTGAAGTAGCTACCAAGATTAATTACCAAAACACTAGCTTTATGAAACCAATAGTGACATGTACAAGCGTTTAACTATATTAGGATTGTTTATTTAATTTTATTTTACCAAATACGGTTTATTATATAACCTGCTGTATCCTAAATTTTAACTCGAATACTTCTCTCCTCCTCTGGCAGTGTGTCTAGCCCCACCGCCACCGCAGGAGTCTTACTCGCTTCTTGTTCTGCAGCGTCCTGTCTTCAGTTGACTTACACAAATTACTTAAAACCTTGTAATTTATTGAAAATATATGTATATTCAATGTTATCATGTGTTTCAGTGCCCAGCTGTTTGGTTATTGTTAGTGATTATGGACTAGTTAAGCTCTAGGGAATTTGTGAGGAGCTGTATACTGTATTGTATAAGCTATTAGGATGCTTCAACAAATCAGCTAGGCTTTCATGTCTCATGGTGGCAGCAAAGCAGCAGTGTACATAACAATCTATATCAATAACTTCTCCAAAAAGTAAAGTAAAATTAAAACTGGCATTCTACCTTTTATAAAATAAAAAGTGGTATATTGGGAAGTTGGAACAAATTTCTAGTCTCTCTTCCTGTAATTATCGTTAGTACCGAAGTACATCTGCATAGATTTGCACATGTTAACATGATGGAGTTGAAGGTGGTGGTGTTGCTCTTAGGAAAACTCAAATCGTTTAATATTGTATATAAACCTAGCTCATTTATACAACTTTGTCTCAAAATAAGTCGACCCGTTGTTCATTGATTTAAGTGTATGCAAGTTCCTGAATTATTTTTTCTGTACATCTTTAGTAATATTTTTATTTTGTTGGTCATCAATCTGGTTGAATGTCCAGATTTTCAAGATAAGAATTTTGCTCTCCATTGTCCTTGTATAATGCAGGTTATGAAAAAATCTGTGAACTGAACTCTCTTTTTTGATTGATCAACTTCTTGTATGTCATTTTGCTCCTGTGTTGGCATTTTGAGTGATATGTAGGACCCTTTGAATCATCTTTGACATGCATAATGCTCTATGTCCATGCTAGTTTGGGCCTTTATTTTTCTACCTCTGTCCATAATTTATTTTATGAGAATTTGTTCTCATGAACATGAACAATCTTTACAAAACAGCTTTGGCTGCATCTGTCTGAAAAAGCCTTATAATTTTTGTATGGGGTTCCTTAGCATTGTGTAGTAATTAGTCATAAGCCACTAGAAGGAAGTGCAATACAGATCTTTATACCTGGTGCACTCATTGGCTCTTATCCTTAATGTCCTGTCATATTTTGTCTTGAATTTATGGATAAAATCTCTATCATTATAAAGTTTTTTGTCAACAAATCTCAAGTTAGAACAGTAAAGTTATTGTTCATAAGTTATTTGTTATTTGGAAATTTCTGTACTGAAAGTGGGTGATTTTTATGCGGTAACATCATTTTACCAGGCAGCATATAGGGATGTACACTAGAGGCTGAGGCTGCATGTTTGAGCACTAGTCTGTTTTCATCTTATCAATAGTTCTACATAGTTGAATGGTGCTGGCTGAGATGACGACATTGTAGTCTCCCTAGATCAACATGTGACTCGGGACCTAGTTTTTTTTTTTTAATATTAACACATCTGAAGGAGTAAGAGCTCCAAGGTGATTTAAATTTACATTAACATCGGAATAAAGGAAACTACAGAAAGCCTATTGGACCATATGAGGCAGCTCCTATTTATATCTACCCAAACTCATTCAAATATATGTCTAACTTACTTTTGAAACAATCAAGGGATCCTACTTCTGTTATGTTATGCGGTAATTGGTTCCACAAATTGACAATCCTGTTACCCAGCCAGTATTTACCCAGGTCTTTCCTAAATCTAAACTTACCCAGTTTATACCCACTTGACACATTAGTTGATGGCTTAGTGTTTGAATGGCTGATTTGGAAACCGAGTCTATCATCAATTTATTACAATACTATACAGTATTATGATTATCATCTGCATGTTGAAGGGAGAGTTTGATAGCAAATATGTTGGTCTAATATGTGGAGGCATTGTTAGTTACTCTTGACTAGCAGAATGTGTCAGATCAGAAAAAAAACTTGCTGCAGGTGAAGTTTGTTTATTAACAGAGCCATCCAAGTGATAGGGCTCTATCATTTGGATGGCTGTGCTTGAGAGGTGGAACCAAAACGCCAAAGCCCAACTTTCGCAAGCACAATTGGGTGAATACTGTTGATGGAATTTCGAGTCGCAACACAAGTGTAAAGTTGAAGTATTGTACAGTATTGTGAGAGATTATTTTTCTTGATAGTTGCTGCTCCATATTAGGCATGGTGACTTCTTATCTATAAGATTCAGTTAGGTCAAGTTCTTATCTTTAGAGCAACTAGTTTTTTTATGGAGTGCCTACTGCATCTTCAACTTAATCAGTGAATAACCACTTATTAATGATAATAGATCAATTAGCTTGAGATACCTGAAAAGAATTATTTATGCTTTTATGCAAGTACTGTATTATGAAAGCTGTAATTCAAGTTTCATATAAATGAAAAATTATATTAAAACCAAGTGGAAGAACATACTGAAATTCATGGAGAAACAGGTTTCAATCATCCCTGAATGGCATCCGGCATGGGTTAATCTTCCGACCCTTACTTCCTATGCTGGCATGGGTCAAAGGCTCTAAGGGATATAGTGGTTAAAGCTAGTTTTGCGTAACATTAGCGAAACCTTCCATCTACACTGTGACCTGTTGAGAGGGTGTGGGCTGGGAGTTCTTGATACAACAAAATGCTCCGAAAACCTAGGTATCTGCAAGGAGGTGGAAACAAATGGGCAGAGTTTCTTTCACCCTGATGCAGTAAATAGGTATCTGAGAGCAACTATGGGCTGCTTCCTGAGGCTGTGTGTGCACGTGTTAGAAAGAAATATATGTAGTAGACCATAGAGGAAAAATAGATTGGCTAGAAAGGCGGGGTCCAAGAACAAAATTGCTCGATTCTGCAGACAAATAGTAAATGCATCCAGCTGCCGACATGCACCCCTATATACAGTCTGTGCCCACATGCTCCCATATATACAGTCTGGTGCCCATATACAGTGGTGCCCACATGCTCCCTTATATACAGTCTGTGCCCACATGCACCCCTATATACAGTCTGGTGCCCACATGCAGCCCCATATACAGTCTGGTGTCCACATGCTCCCCTATATACAGTCTGGTGGCCACATGCTCCCCTATATACAGTCTGGTGCCCACATGCACCCCTATATACAGTCTGGTGCCCACATGCACCCCTATATACAGTCTGGTGCCCACATGCACCCCTATATACAGTCTGGTGCCCACATGCACCCCTATATACAGTCTGGTGCCCACATGCACCCCTATATACAGTCTGGTGCCCACATGCAGCCCCATATACAGTCTGGTCACGTTTATTATACGCTGAACAAGAATTAGGACACAATCAACATTACATTAGTGAATTCTCAGTTATCAGTTAATGATTAGATGAAACTGTTTGGGATACCCGGAGCTCTAATTCCAATATCCTATCCATGGGTATTTTCAATCTACCCAAAGTTCAGTAGTACAGATTAGGCTTTGTTCTCGATTCAGAACCGGGGTTTCCGCGCCGGACGGAATTGGTTGGGCACGTTTCCTTGCACCTAATTACTCTGTTCACCTAAGCAGTACATATGTATATAGGAGTTAGGGAACTGTTGTGGGTTGTGTATCGTAGGCAGGGTAAAAGTTAGAACTTGGATACAAGGCTCAAGTGCTATGTAGGTTCACAAGTTTCCTATCCCGACAAAACTAAAACGAATTGGCTAATTTTTTTTATTAAAAAGTTTGTTAAAAGTTTTTTAATTAAAAATAAAAAATGCTATTTTTAAATATTTATTTAATGAATGTGTTCAATATCACAGATATATTGCTATCAAAGTGGCTACGAAGACAGCATGATATGATAACGGTGAGTACTGCCAGATTGTGCGTACTGAGGGTGAGGAAATATTCTAGGAAGAGCCGCCATGTTCTGGGGGGTTCTGGGAGCTCCTCCAATATGGCTCCCATTGTCCTTCGTCTCCTGCCGCTCTCACCACACTGGCCTTTACTCTCACTCATAACCCATACCAAGACAATCCTTGGCTTACTGGGAGTAGTATGTCATGAGTTACAAGTGGTGAAGAGATCAAATAAAGTAGAGAGAGAGAAGTAGATATAATGTCTGGTCATTATGGCGCGCGGGACGGGGAGTGCGCATGCGCCGCCACCGGTCACGTGACCGAGGGTATATATAGTGGTGCTTGCCGGAGGTGGCGGCATTAGTGCTGCGGCATCCACGGTGAGAGTGTGTTCAGCGCGATACCAGACAACTTTACTGAAGAATTCCTTTATTACTGCATTGGTATGTTGTTTAACGCCTCTTTTTAAGTGTTTAAATGGTGGCTGTGTAGGTGAGGTTTTGGGACTTGTTTGAACGCGAGACGTCGACTAGGCGTCGCCCCTTGATAATGGCGAGCGGAAGTGAATTTTCCCTTGAAAATTTTTATATTATTTCTATAAATGTTTTGTTACTATATCTTGTAAGGTAACACGGCCCAACTTAAATTAACGGTAATTTACTAATTTTGATCCCTTACGGCATATGAAGACATAAAGTTTGATGATGAAACCTTCCTTTGTCCTCGGTGACGTCGGCCGTGACGTTGGACGTTATAAAATGTTCCTTTTTGTTAAGTCTAAACTTTACATCAATATATAAATATAGAATTATCTAAAGCCAGGCGAGTGAACAGCAAGCAGTTGTGGTGTTTATCAGGAGTTATCATTTGTCTCCCTCGGAGTGCTGGGAGACCACAGCTGGTGCTGCCTCTTGTACTCGTGTATATCGAAATATAATGGATTGTGCAGTTCTATTTATAGTTACGTAAATATGGTCCATTTTTTGTGAAGTGACGCATAGTGTTAGCCTGGACCGTCTCCAGCCTCGTGACTTTCTCTGAACTTGAAGTGGACCGGTTCTGGGAATGTTGGGGTGGGGCCGGTCATTCCTACCCCCCCCCCCCTTTCCTTCCCTCTGATAATCATCAGGGCTTCACGGTTGTACAATATCCTCCCAGCGAGTATAATAAGAAATATTGCCTGAACAACCGTGGATATCTGGAAAAGAGATTTCCTTGGTGCCGGTCCAACTGGGCTGTGGTGGGTATGCGGGCTGCTCCAAGCAACAGCCTGGTGGACCCGAGTCTCGCAAGTCGAGCCTGGCCTTGGGCCGGGCTTAGAGTAGATCTGCCAGAGCCCCATCAAGCAGGTTCAGGGTGTGTAAGAGGGGGGGGGGCACTGGTTCAGGGAGTGTGAAAGAGATTTTGTAAATGGTTCAAATAGTTGTACTGCAGTGATGTGGTGAAGGCAGACTATCGTTTCAAATGTAGATATGAGAGAGGCCCAGGGAATCTGTACAACAGTTGAGAGGTGGGACCAGAAAGCCAGAACGCAACCTCCACAAGTACAACTAGGCGAGTACTGTAATCGGGACCTGGGGCAACTTGCATATGAATAATTGGTAAAAAAAAATTAAATTACTAATAGTATTAGTCATTTTAAGCAAATTCTTTGATCTAGTTTATCTTTAAAGTATGAAGTATTTTTATTGGAGGGAAGAGACTTTCCCATTTGTCTGGATCCTTACCCGGACAAATGTTTTGATTTCACTGATAATTCTCGCTGGTATCACGCTTATTATTCATTTCGTGCAATTCTAAACACAGGCCATAACAAGTTTCTTCTTGCCTTCAAGGGCAAGAGATGAATACTACTATTGAGAACTAATTATTGATTTTTATCGATTTCTTGCCGCATTTTTATTTTATATAGAAAGTAGGTTGGTGTTTGAGTAACGTTCTTGCAAAACCAATAGCACAGTACAGTATTTTTGGCAGGCTATCAAAACTAAATAAAGTAAATTTAATTGGTGTTTATCATAACTACACAACATATTGACTACTGTAATTCTAGTGATGGTATTGAATGTCTTAAAATGCTAAATTGGGGAAACTGAGGATGGTTAGTTTTTTATTTTACTTTTTGAGTCTTAGAATTTTTTTTAAATTGGCAATTTCCATTGACTGGGGTCCTTGTAATTTTCATGGTTTTAGCCTATATTTAGTATGACTAGGAATAAAGAAGATATTCCCATCTATAAACTTCTGGTGTCTGAAGTTTATAGTTCTGAAAGAAGATAATTGATGGGCTTGAGGCAATTTGCAGTGGTTGAACCCAATGCACACGTAACCTGTTTAATGGGGATAAATTAATTAGTAGTACACTGTATAGTGAAAGAGCAGAGTGGGAAGGATCTGATTTTTTAGTATACCAACAGTGATGGTTTTCTGGCCATGTTGTACTAGAGTACTGAAGTTTAATATTTTGTATGTGTATGGGTCAAAGAACTTTCCTCTCATTTTGCTATTTATGCTGACATAGTTGGTATAAATGGCATTAAAGTTTAGAGCAAATGATAATCTTTGGTACTAAATTCAGGCGTGCATTAGTATATTTTAAATAGCCGTTTGGGCATGTTTTCAAAGTGAATCTTCGAGGTAAAAATCTTGACATTGGGAAATTTTTTGTACCATGTGATAAAATGTACCAGCATTTAATTATTTCCTTGAGACTTGAATACATTGCAACTTGAAAAATACTTGCTGAAGCAGTTCAGTTACTTCATTAACACTTTAGTTTCTCATAGACCATTATCCATTTGGCTTGCATGTTTTTTTTTTTATATACCCATTTTCCTTTCTAACCTTTCCTTTTTTTGTATACTGCTTTCTCTTGCCTCTTATTCTTGCACTCATCCCCTTTTAGTTTTGTTTTCTTCCTTCCTATTTTCTCCTTTTAGGTCTTAACATTACAACTTGATAATGATCCAGGACAGACTGAAATGTGATATCTTAATTTTCTGATGTTTGGATGTATCTTCAGCCACATTGACTCAACATTTTTTTATTATTATTAAGGGGGCATCAGGTTGTCAGGTCAAAGTTGTTCAATGTCAACCAATATTATTTGACTAGTTGTATATGAAAAGTGCTTTAATTGTCCCAAGTTTCAGTACTGCAGCGTAAATAGAAAGGGAGATTTTTTGTTTTTAACGATTTTTTACACATTTTAAAGTCCACACTTCAGAACACACGTTTCAGATATAATTATTGTGACACTTTTCTGACACATTAGCATATAATAAAGGACCTTGACATACAGAATTTCGAAAACATCTTTAGTTTTCCTAATACAAATGTTCAAAGTTCTCCAAAAAATTTTTTTTGCAAATATGGCATGTTTATTGCTATTATAAAATCAATAAATGAACTTAGAAAAATGAAAACTCTCCAATGTAGAGACATGCCCTCCACATATACTGTGTAAGTTTCATGTAAATTGAATAAAAAATTAATCAGTTTTGTAAACGTTTGTGTCAATTGAAAAAAAACAGAAATGAATAAAGTCTAAGGTTCTAAAATCTGTGGCTGAGGTTGACATCAACCAATTTTCTCCAAAATTGGCATGCCTTACAGATAGGCTTACGTACAGTCAGGTGTGTAAGTTTGATGCAAATTGCCCGGAAAAAAAAAATAAAAAAAAAATGCTTTTTTTTTCTTTGAATTTTTTTTTTAAATTAAACTAATTATAATATTTGTTTAATATATGCTATTGTGATAGCAAAGAGTCATAGCTATGATTTCAGTTGACACTTTTGATTGATAATTGATTTTGACCATTTTGGCATAATTTTCACAACTAATTAAATATTATTTTTCTCCCTTCCTATTTATGCTACGATGCTGAAACTTGGACCAGATGAAACACTTTTCGAGTTTTCAAGAAACGAGTTTTCATTTGTTGCATTTTTAGGGCAAATTGGAATCTGAGGCCCCCTTAATTTGTAGATGGAATAAGTTTGGCAAAAAGAACTAGCAGTTTAGCCAGTCATGACTAAAGCTTTGAAAATATTGTTTCTTTGTCAGTATTTTTGTGCTTTCATATAGAAATATTTCATTTTTACAATTTGGATAAAGAAGTTTGTTAGGATATCAGGGTTGTAATGGGACATGAAAACATTTGGATAATTTGTACACAACTTTACCCCATCCAGGCCTCTTATTTTCTCGTGTTAATTCATTTTTGTAAATTGCACAGTATTTTATCAACAGTATTGGTGCATTTATTTAATGTTGGGCAATGAAATTTGCCCAACATTAAATAGTTAGGGACATTTCCAATAGTTAGGGACATGAAGCCTGTTAGGCTTATTGAGGTTCACCTAGACAAACGTATCTTTGGGAAGATCACTCGCTAAAGTTGCAAAAAAAAAAAATACATGGGTGCTTTCATACTGCTAGGTATAAAGTGAAAGAATAGTGTTATTTGCAAGAAAGTGGGATACCCTATATCAATTGGGGGAAACGTGCACCTGGAGGAGGCAAGTACCTAAAGATGCCTTAAGGAAACTATTACGGAAAATTTGAAAAATGATTAGATTTCAAACTTTTTTGACTAGTTGTGTATAAAATTTGGTTCAACTGGCCCAACTCTCAGCATTGTAGCATAAATAGGGAGAAAAAATATATAGTCACATTTTCCAAAATGGTAAAAAATTATTAAGCGTCAACTGAAATCATGTCTGATTATCACAATAGCATGTAATAAAGTATTTTAATATTCAGTTTTATGCCCCAAAAATCAAAACTGAAATTAGTTTTTTTTTATCAGCCGATTTGCATGAAACTTGTACACTTTACAGAACGTATGCCTATCCATAAAGATGTTAATTTTGAAGGAAGTTGGTTGAAGTCGATTTCAACCACTGATGGCAGTGTGTTTGATCTTATTTATTTTAAAGTAACAAAATGGCATCTCATTTTTTTTTAAATTAACATGAAATTTACACTTTATGTAGAGTTGACGTCTACAATAATGCTAACTCACTTTACTTCTAAGTTCATTTATTGATTTTATAAATCTTTGCAGACATGAAATATTGGCATATTTTTTGGGGAAACTTTGACTACTTAAATTAGTAAAACTAAATATTTTGGATAATCCTTTTAAGCCAAAATCCTTTATTATATGCTAATATAAGTCATAGAAATGATAGTCATTTGAAACGTGTGGTTAATTATTGAAAATGTGTAAAATTCGCTGGAAAAAATCTTTCTATATAGGGTGTGATGCTGAAACGTAGAACAGTTGCAGCCGCCCTTATATACAACTAGTAAAATTAGTTTGGTTGATTTTAAACATTTAAAAAAAGCATAATATGCCCCTTAAGATGGTATGCACACCATGGGTTCAACCCTCTTGAGGATGTACAGTGTGAGGGGGGTTAAAGATAGTCCCTTGTTGGACTCCTCATTAATTTCAAATAGTTCATTCTCCAGCTATATCAGGGGCCGACTACTGTGAAAAGAAGTTGTGTAACTTCTAATTTTTCTCGCCACTTGATTCAAAGCCGAGCGGACAGCACGCTGGATTTGTGATCCTGTGGTCCTGGGTTCGATCCCAGGCACCGGCGAGAAACAATGGGCAGAGTTTCTTTCACCCTATGCCCCTGTTACCTAGCAGTAAAATAGGTACCTGGGTGTTAGTCAGCTGGCACGGGCTGCTTCCTCGGGGTGGAGGCCTGGTCGAGGACCGGGCCGCGGGGACACTAAAGCCCCGAAATCATCTCAAGATAACCACCCTGAGTTGGTAAAATGTAAAGCTGCATGTCAAATAGTAATATACCTAGAAATGCTTCTCATTCCGATAGTTAAGCCTTTGGAAGATGGTTAAAATGTTAGTGCTTATCTATCAGTGACTGGTGGAGGGAGATCTAGCTCTTTATGCTCTGCCAAGTCTTCTGAGTTATTATGAATGTTAGGGGTCGTCTTGTTCTTAATGAGACATATTAATAAGGAACATTGTATATTCATTACCAAGCATGCAGTTGTCAGATGCAATTTAAATTAACAATTCTGAATCTTTTGATAGTGTCTAAAATTATAATTTTTTCTCCACAGGTGCATAATGCAGATCTTTGTGAAGACCCTCACTGGTAAGACCATCACCCTAGAAGTTGAGCCTCAAGACACAATTGAAAATGTAAAAGCGAAGATTCAGGATAAGGAAGGTATCCCTCCTGACCAGCAGAGGTTGATCTTTGCTGGCAAGCAACTGGAAGATGGTCGTACTCTCTCCGACTACAATATTCAAAAGGAATCTACACTTCACTTGGTTCTGAGACTGCGAGGCGGTATGCAGATCTTCGTGAAGACCCTCACAGGAAAGACCATCACCCTTGAGGTTGAGCCTTCAGACACCATAGACAATGTAAAGGCAAAGATTCAAGATAAGGAGGGTATCCCTCCAGACCAGCAGAGGTTGATCTTTGCTGGCAAGCAGCTGGAGGATGGTCGTACCCTCTCCGATTACAACATTCAAAAGGAATCTACACTTCACCTGGTTCTAAGACTGCGAGGGGGTATGCAGATCTTCGTAAAGACCCTCACAGGAAAGACCATCACCCTTGAGGTCGAGCCTTCAGACACAATTGAAAATGTAAAAGCGAAGATCCAGGATAAGGAAGGTATCCCTCCCGACCAGCAGAGGTTGATCTTTGCTGGTAAGCAGCTGGAAGATGGTCGTACACTCTCTGATTACAATATTCAAAAGGAATCAACACTTCACCTGGTTCTGAGACTGCGAGGTGGTATGCAGATCTTCGTAAAGACCCTCACAGGAAAGACCATCACCCTTGAGGTCGAGCCTTCAGACACCATAGACAATGTAAAGGCAAAGATTCAAGATAAGGAGGGTATCCCTCCAGACCAGCAGAGGTTGATCTTTGCTGGCAAGCAACTGGAAGATGGTCGTACACTCTCTGATTACAATATTCAAAAGGAATCTACACTTCACCTGGTTCTGAGACTGCGAGGTGGTATGCAGATCTTCGTAAAGACCCTCACAGGAAAGACCATCACTCTGGAAGTTGAACCTTCAGACACCATAGACAATGTAAAGGCAAAGATCCAGGATAAGGAAGGTATCCCTCCAGACCAGCAGAGGTTGATCTTTGCTGGCAAGCAGCTGGAGGATGGTCGTACCCTCTCCGATTACAACATTCAAAAGGAATCTACACTTCACCTGGTTCTAAGACTGCGTGGTGGTATGCAGATCTTCGTGAAGACCCTCACTGGAAAAACCATCACTTTGGAGGTTGAGCCTTCAGACACCATAGACAATGTTAAGGCAAAGATTCAGGATAAGGAAGGTATCCCTCCAGACCAGCAGAGGTTGATCTTTGCTGGCAAGCAGCTGGAGGATGGTCGTACCCTCTCCGATTACAACATTCAAAAGGAATCTACACTTCACCTGGTTCTGAGACTGCGTGGTGGTATGCAGATCTTCGTGAAGACCCTAACAGGAAAGACCATCACCCTGGAGGTTGAGCCTTCAGACACAATTGAAAATGTAAAGGCGAAGATTCAGGATAAGGAAGGTATCCCTCCAGACCAGCAGAGGTTGATCTTTGCAGGCAAGCAGCTGGAAGATGGTCGTACACTTTCTGACTACAATATTCAAAAGGAATCCACACTTCACCTGGTTTTAAGACTGCGAGGTGGTATGCAGATCTTTGTGAAGACCCTCACAGGAAAGACCATCACCCTTGAGGTTGAGCCTTCAGACACCATAGACAATGTAAAGGCAAAGATCCAGGATAAGGAAGGTATCCCTCCCGACCAGCAGAGGTTGATCTTTGCTGGTAAGCAACTGGAAGATGGTCGTACACTTTCTGACTACAATATTCAAAAGGAATCCACGCTTCACCTGGTTCTAAGACTGCGAGGTGGTATGCAGATCTTTGTGAAGACCCTCACAGGAAAGACCATCACCCTTGAGGTTGAGCCTTCAGACACCATAGACAATGTAAAGGCAAAGATCCAGGATAAGGAAGGTATCCCTCCCGACCAGCAGAGGTTGATCTTTGCTGGCAAGCAGCTGGAAGATGGTCGTACCCTCTCCGACTACAATATTCAAAAGGAATCCACACTTCACCTGGTTCTAAGACTGCGAGGTGGTATGCAGATCTTCGTAAAGACCCTCACAGGAAAGACCATCACCCTAGAGGTTGAGCCTTCAGACACCATTGAAAATGTAAAAGCAAAGATCCAGGATAAGGAAGGTATCCCTCCAGACCAGCAGAGGTTGATCTTTGCTGGCAAGCAGCTGGAAGATGGTCGTACACTCTCCGATTACAACATTCAAAAGGAATCTACACTTCACCTGGTTTTAAGACTGCGAGGTGGTATGCAGATCTTCGTAAAGACCCTCACAGGAAAGACCATCACCCTGGAGGTCGAGCCTTCAGACACCATAGACAATGTAAAGGCAAAGATCCAGGATAAGGAAGGTATCCCTCCCGACCAGCAGAGGTTGATCTTTGCTGGCAAGCAGCTGGAAGATGGTCGTACCCTCTCAGACTACAATATTCAGAAGGAGTCTACCTTGCATTTGGTTCTTCGGCTGCGTGGTGGTCTTTGAAATATTTGAAATGTTAATTCCTATTTGTATGTTAAAGCATATATTTGCATTTGACATATTCCTTTAATTTATAGATGGAGGTTTCTTTTGCACGGATATTATTTTTTACATTTTATAATGTGCTATTTAAACCAAATAAAATTAAATAGGAAAGTTTTGTCATTTGTATGCCCCTTGACCATGAAATGTTTTCTATATTAAAAGTAATTACATGCCTAATTTTAAGTTTATGTATGGTCAATTGAACAATTAGTGTATTTTGTTTTTCCTTGCTCAAGAATACATAACAGGTGCTTAGAATACATAACAGAAGTTACTTTTAAGGGGGCATATTATGGAAAAATGTGATAAATGAAAAATGATTAGAATCAATCAAAACTTTTTTGGACTAGTGTATAGAATTTGATTCAACTGGCCCAACTCTGCATTGTAGCATAAAGAGGGAGAAAAATATTGAATCAATTTGGCCACAAATTAACATGAAACAATTAGCTAGCTTAGTCATAGACATTATTTCAGTTATCACAATAGCATGTAAGTGTTTCAGTTTTATGCCAAAATCCCCCCTCACTGTCTGGCGCGTTGTCACCTGAGGGGGGCTTGGTGGACGGCTGCCGGAGTATGATGCTCCATGGGTCAGTCCTCTGTCCTTTTGCAGCCTTATGCTCTCTTTCCTCTTTTCGGCAATACGGTGTACCCGAAGGTAGTGTTCTGAGCACTCCAATTATTATTATTATTTTTTTTTATTGGGGGGGGCCCTCTATGGTCTTTCCTTCCTTATGGCCTCTCCGCACTTGGTCGACGATCTTATAATTTGCTGTCGAGGTGGTGATTCACCTTCAGCGGCGGCTTCAACTTGAGATTGATGCCGTGTCGTCTTGGGCCACCAATCATGGCTTCAAGTTCTCCGTAACAAAGATGAAACTCTTTTTCTTTGAGCATTTGTCTTCACACTCCCACTGTTTCCATCTTCACCGATGGGTCTAAGTCTGCTGACGGTGTAGGCTACTCTGTTGTTTTTCCCTGACAACACTGGTATGTGTGTCCTTCCTCCAGAGGATAGCATCTTCACAGCAGAACTTTATGCTCTTCGTTTCCTGCTTTCTCGTTCTCAATCCTCCTTTGTAGTGGTAGTTGACACTCGTAGTGTCCTCATGGCTTTGGGGTCTTTTAATCCAGTCCACCCGGTGGTCATCGAGATTCAACATTGGCCGTTTCTTATCTCCAGTAAATTAAAGTCTGGGAGTTTTGCTGCCATGTTGGTGTCTTTAAATGAGCGTGCGGATGCTACCGATAAGGAAGCTCCGCACTTGTCCATCTCCCATAAAGGTATTCCTTATTCAGATTTTTACCTAGTTTTTCATTCTTCCATCCTTGCCTGTTGGCAGGATTGTTGGTCTTCTGTTTCTGGCAACAAACTACGTACTCTTTTTAAGACGCTACATTTAAGAATTTCAGGATACGAGTCGTGTCCTGCACACCGCCCCCCATCCAGTGGGCAGAGGTGGATAGGTTACAAATCACTTAGTTACTACCTACAGTTAGCAAACGGGATATTTGGCTAAAATTTTTGTTAAATCATTTTGAATGAAATATTTACACATCTTTGGAACATTGGTTATAGAATTGTTTCTGAATTTCCGTATCTTTTCGCTCTCCATCACAGTGACGGAGGGTGTGCGAATAATTTTGTTGATATAGTTTACATTTGGTCAGGTCTACATCGGCAGATAATGAGAATTCCCAGAGATACTTGTAACGGAGTCTAAGCCGAGCAGTAGTAACATCTAGAAGTCTGCTGATTTTATTGGATGAACCATATATGTGTGGCTCTTCTTGCATGATTTAAATTTAAATAAGTCACAAGCAATAAACGTATTACCGAACATTCTGAGAGATAAACCTATACATTTCCTCCTTTACACAAGTAGTATGGTATCTTGCATGATAGTATGATGATAGATGGAATTACTGGTGTCGATTTCACTTTGCCTCAGATCTACAAGATTTTGTTGAAGCTCTTGGTGTATTGCTGCTCTCAGATTGCTTATCGACAATCCAAGGTTATACTCAATTTCTCCATTAAAGGCAGATTTTTTGGCTAACGGAGGAATTTAGTATAACCTTGGATTGTCAGTAAGCCAGTGGGACAGCAAATAATAACAGTCCCCCCAAGAGGGACAGAGGAGCTGTCGAGAGAGAGCCGAGCATCCCGGCCTGTACGATCATGTAAATGTTCCGAACCTTAATGGAATCTGACCCATATATCAATCAGGTCAACCCATGTGTTGCGTTTCCAAAAGGGTCGCCCATGTTAGAATCGGTGAACGCCCTAGTAATATTGTTGAAAACATCTTAATAACTTATTAAACCAAAGGTCTTTTTATGTCAGAAGAACGGCAGAAACTAGATCTATATATGAAAACTCTTTCAGGACAAAATTTAAAGTAAAACTAAAGATATTTGTAGTTGTATAAAAGTTGCATTTTTCATCGGTCGTAGAGCCGGAAATCCGCAATATTCATCTCAGAACAATGCTTATTTCACGCAGAATCGTTAATAAACGTAAGATTTTTATACGTCTCAAGAAAGATAGAAACATAATCTTCATTTTAAATGCCTTACCATGGGCATATTTGTATTTAAAGCGAAGATACGTGTATTTTTCTAATCGGCGAGCTCCGATCCCGCACAGATCGAGCAACGGAGTAACTCTCTCAGAACAATGCTTATTTCACGTAAATTCGTTAATAAACGCAAATGTTTTTATATGTGTTTAGAAAGATAGAAATATAAGCTTCATTTTAAATACTTTACCATAGATATATATAAAGTTCTAATGAAGATTCACGTGTTTTAATAATCGCCGAGCTCCGACCCCGCACAGACTGATCGACAGAGCAACTCTCTCTCAGAACAATGCTTATTTCACGTAAATTCGTTAATAAACACATATGTTTTATATGCTCAAGAAAGATAGAAATATAAGCTTCATTTTAAATACTTTAACATAGACATATATAAAGCTCAAGTGAAGATACATACGTTTTTATAGTGGCATTCAGTAGCTTGTCGGTCATGGAATGCAGAAGCCTACGCACTTGCCAATATATTGTGTAATTAACAAAGATACGCTTATAAAGGCTAAAATATTATATGCCTTCAGAAAGACAGAGATATGCTCGTTATTGTGAGTGCACCAAAGGAAATATATCTTGTTGGAGGACAAAGATATATCAATTCTAAAATAAGTTTCGACTCTCGCTCGGGCGAGAGATAGCGCGACTCTCGCCCCATCTATTGGAGATTCTGTTCACCTAATGACCCAAAGCTACTCAAAGCCTCTTAGCATTACTTAAATAATGAAGAAATATGGTATATTTATTCACTATAATGTTGGTGCTTAATGCAGAACACGAGAAAACATATATTTACTATAAAATAATATACTTCCATTATGAAATAAGTAAATATGTGGCCTCACAGGACGTCAACGGTCCAGGTGTCAATGTTGTGGAGCGACTTATCCAAGATATATTGTTGTCTGGAAAGTGTTTGTTGGCATATCAACCTTCTGTACACAGTGATCCAGTCGTCGCACTTCTCTCCTTAAATGATCGCAAATTTAGTTTATTATATTAACAAGTAGAATACGTATTTCTAATAATATCTAACATAACTAGCCAGAAAATATTTAAGACTTATTGAAAAATACATGTCTGGAAGTTAAATCGACTTCATAGAACAATAGTGTTGGTATATACTAATCGTTATTCGTTAGTATGCGTTCGCTACTTAAAACATTTACTGTACTGATGTAAAATCTCCCATGTCTCTTCGCACATGGAACACCGAACCTTACACACTCTCTGATATATTGTTTAATTAATAGAGATTCACTAATAAAGCTTATAATTGTATATGTTATCAAAAAGGCATAGATAAAGTCGTTCTTACGTTTTAGTCACAGAGATTAGATATTAGTAAAGTAAAGTTCATTTTATTCAGGAAAGTACATAAATAGTCGATTTACAAACATAATATTGGATTTATAGATAGAGCTAGTACATACAATACCTAAAGCCACTAGTACGCATAGCGTTTCGGGCATATTATTGAGAGAGGAAAGATATTTATATTTAAATTTTTTTTTTTTTTTACCGACGCTTTCCCTATTGATGAGAACTACAACCTAATGAAGATAAATGTTAATTTTATGTAGATACTGTAATAAACGAAAGTTTTTAATGTCATCAGAGAAGAAGAAATATAAGCAAATTTTAAATCCCTTGTCATAAATATAACTGAAGTGAAAGCAAAGATATATGCATTTTGATAGTTACAAAGACAGCTCTTTAACACGGGTGGAACACAAACAAGGGGAACTTAGTACCCAAATGAGCCACAGAGATATTAGAAAGAATTTTTTCAGTGTCAGAGTAGTTAACAAATGGAATGTATTAAGCAGTGATGTGGTGCAGGCTGACTCCATACACAATTTCAAATGTAGATGTGATAGAGCCCAATAGGCTCAGGAACCTGTACACCTGTTGATTGACGGTTGAGAGTCGGGACCAAAGAACCAAAGCTCAACCCCCTGCAAGCACAAATTAGGTGAGTGCAACTAGGTGAATACAGCTGAGGGGCGGGACCAAACAGCTGAAGCTCAATTCCCTACACATAACTAGGCGAGTCCATAGGAATTACCGTTTGTCCTGGCGCCATCTATGTTTTGACAGCAGTACTACTAATGTTCCCACGTTATGTGATGATCGCTATACGGGCGGGTGTTACGGTCAGTTGCTCTTCTATATATGTTTATGGACAACGTAGGTGATTTGAGGCAATTTGCGGCCAGAGTGAAATAGTATCCACGCGGTGAGTGATGGAGGAGGATATATACTGCTGTGTACTCGACCAGCGGGTGAGAGGTAAGTTATATTGCGGAATAGATGGGTTATTTTAAGCGTAGAATGTCAGGTAACCGGTAACTACACAGATGGTGTAGTGTTTTTTTAAGTCTTTATTTACTAAAGTGGAACATTACATTATGCCTTTTAGCTGAACAAGTCTACTGGTGGGGGAAGTAGACGGGTTTTATGAAAGTATTTTACCTAAATATTTGTATTTGGTTAACTAGTTCAGCCGTTACC